AACAATGGGTGAACGTGAAGAAGGGAAAGAGCAACACCCCAACTCACAAGCAGCCTCCACCCAAGACCAAGGACAACAGATCTAACTCCTTCATCTTATTTAATGTCCCAGTGTCGGAAGGAAGCTTGCTAGAAGGTAGTGCTGCCTTCGACAAAGAACAATGGGGTAAACTCTGCTCAACCCCCGGAATGTGCGACGTCCCATCCACAATATGCCGCCTTTTCAAAGGCCAAAATGTCTCGAAAGGAAAACCCCCTCCAATGAGGTTAATTCTTGACTCGGCACGACTTGCTGAAGACATAATCCTTTCGTCCCAAAGACCATCGGTCAAATCGTCCTCGCTGATTCGTATCAGGCACGATAAGCCGTGGTCGGTAGGTGCAGCAGCCAGAACTGCGCCAGACACCCAAGAACAGACCACCATGGTAGTTCACGGCGTACCCGAACTCATTAGCGGTAACCCGGACGAAGCACACGAGCACGATGTGCAACAGTGGCGATGTCTATCGCGTAGCCTATCCCTCCACACCACGATGGCAGTCTGCATTTCCAGGTTGCCCCGCCCGTCACACCTTACGTCTATCAAGTTACCACGCCTGATGGCTGTAACACTTAGGAACCGGGAAGACCTAACCGAAACACTACAAGCTTGGTACAGTTCGAAGAACAATCTGCCTAGCCACATCAGATGTTGTAAGAGCCGATTAAGATCTGTGAGACAACAACAGGAAGGCCAAAACGAACGCACACAACTGATAGTTAAACTCGGTCAACTACCTCTGGCACAAGATATGAGTGAACCAACCGCGCAGGCAAAATACCTGCAGAGGCCAGTTCCCACAGAACTGGCCGATTCGGTTTAAATAACTTGTCTGAAAACCCGACAAAGGCGATAGGGAACAGCAAACTGGAGGTGGAGCGGCGATATATATATATATATAGCAACTTAAAAGCAGAGAGACTATACGACACCAAACTAACTGAGGTGACAGAATCATGTTGGTGTTGTTTCCACTCGAATGGCACGAAATACTTGATTGGAGGGATCTACCGACCTCCTTCGGGTACTAGGGCCCAGAAAAGCAAACTGACTGAGGTAATACTGCATTTGCCACTCCTGGAGTTTGATCAAATACTCATAGCCGGAGACTTCAATACCCCATCCTTAAATCTGAGCAATCAGAGTATAACTCCCACTGGTTGGTTCCAAAGACAACTTGGTACAGCTGTTAGAAGCTCTGGGCTGACTGAGCACGTACGCAGCGCCAGTAGGTGGACTAAGGAACTGAAGTCCTCAAACCTAGATTATCTGTTAACGAACGACCAGCTCTTGGTTGAGGATGTTCACATCCGCGCTCCAATAGGTAGTAGTGACCATGGCACAGTCCTATTTAACATGGTCACGAACGAATCGCTGACACCGGACGATAACGAGCCTTACCTTTGCTACAGTAGGGCAAACTGCACACGCATGAGAGAGGTGCTCCTACATGCCCCATGGCCACGGGAGTGGTGAAGGCTGACAGTAGATGATCACTGGCAAGCACCCAAAACGCCAGAACAGAAGAACCTGGGTTGGGCGCGGCACGGAACGCTTGCTGCAGGCGAAGAGGAAGCCTGGCACAAGGGGAAGGTCTCCTTGAAGGGTTCCGATCGCAGTTCTTACTTGGCATTGAGAAACAGATGCGATACCAAAGTTCGAAGCGACAGGAGACAATTCCAGACGAAGCTAGCCGCCAGAATAGAAGCAAACCCGAAACATCTGTTTAGGTCCATGTCCAAAAGAAAACCTACTAATCAAGGGAGGGCTTAGGGAACATCCGTATCACTCCTGACCTAGTATTAAGGAAATTAAAATCCTTACGCCCAGGTAAGTCACCGGGTTGTGACAAAATCCGCCCTATAGTCTTGCAAAAGTGCGCTGAAGCACTCTGTTCACTGTTATGCAACCTGTCCAGGCATTCACTGGAGTCACACCAATTCCCAGCGGAATGGAAACAAGCTACTCTCTCTCCAATCTTCAAAGGAGGAGATAGAAAGGACCCAGCCTGTTACAGACCAGTCGCACTACTACCTATATTATCAAAGGTTATGGAAGGACTAGTGGACGAACAAATGAGGGAGTACATGGATAAGAATATAATACTCCATGAAGCTCAACACCGGTTTCGGAAAGGCAGGTCGTGTGCATCTAATCTTCTCATCGCATGGGACAGTTGGACATCCTGCTTGGACCGTAAAATACCAGTGCACGTAGTATTTCTCGATTTCGCAAAAGCCTTTGACACAGTGCCTCACGCACTCCTAATCGAAAAGGTTGTGGAAATGGGCTTCACTGACCCACTCGTATCTTGGCTCAGAAACTACCTTGAGAACAGAAAGTTTCGCACCAAGGTAAACAGGGTGCACGCGAGTTGGAGGCTATCCACTTCAGGAGTTTCAGAGGGGGCCATCCTAGGCCCACTCCTCTTCCTGATATTTATTAACGACCTGCTAGGCTTAGTTAGCTCACCGGCACTGATCTAGTAGAAGCGAAGAGGATTCGACTGAGCTTCAAAAGGACCTTACATCTATTGAGAAATGGGCAGTGAAAAACGGTTTGAAAATCAACCAACCGAAGTGCCACGTCGTGCATTTCCGGCATCATATTACGCAAACGACCTACACTCTCAATGGAAGTCCGCTCCCTAATGTCTCCTCAGAGCGCGATCTTGGTTTAATAACCACAGGAAGCCTCCACACGAGTCCGAACTATGTAGAGGATGTTGCCAAGGCAAATGCGACTCTTCACTTTATGCGAAGACAGCTTGGTGCTATCACCCCGAAATTATTTTTAACCCTGTTTAAGACGTACGCGCGCCCACACTTGGAGGTTCACAACGTCATCGCACCCCCTCTGCTTAAAAGAGACATTAATCTCTTGGATCGAGTGCAGAGACAAGCAACCAAATGGGTGATAGGGTTGAAAAATAAACCTTAGGACGACAGACACCAGCTCTTGGGATTATTCCCACTGAGCTACAGAAGAATCAGAGGTGACCTGATTATGGCGTACACCATATTAAACACGCCAAACCATCCCAATGTGAGCATCTTACCGATGCATTACCACCACTCACCTCGAGGCATTCCTCGAAAGATTGCACATCAAAGAGCAAATACTCAGATTCGTGCACACTTTTTCTCATTGCGAGTCGTCGCAACCTGGAATGCTCTCCCAGCCGAGGTAGTTACACTCAATTAATCTATCTCGCCTATTATCTCTGTTTCCTCTCCCTTGCTTACACTTCGGTCCTCTCTCACAATCTTCACTACCAATTAACAAACTAAATTCATCTATATATTACTCAGTTCTGAAATTTTATTCATATTATCATTAGAATTTTATCCTTATTACCCTTATTACTCTCCACATTGCAACGAACTGATCTCCGGTTTGGTAATGTGACGGCTGCTAGTATCCAGAAACCCTACTGCCCTGAAACAAACGTTTCATTCAAATCCAGAGACATACAAACTCACAACCAACTGTCAACTGATTAGAATTAGACAGTCGAGTGGCTAGACCTCCATCCACTGGACATTAACGAACACCTGGAACCGTACCGGAAGAACAAGAATCGAGAGCGAAGAAATCAAATTGGTTTACACTAGCTCGTGAAAAAGATATTGGATATTGGAAGTTCAAGGTAGATGAATGCAAGAAAAACCTAGGAGACTTAACAGAAAGAAGAATCACGAGTCTACTAAAGGAGCTACTACATAAGAAAATTGACAGCTCTATCTAGAATGATCTGAGACCTCTCGGACTGCAAATATCACTAGTGTATGAACTACCATAATGGTCATTTGACCTTGCCATAAAGTTACATGCCAGACACCGAAGAAGTAGAAGCCCATCCCTAATCACCTAACCACTTATTCACTCAAAAATTGTTTCCAATTTGCTGATGATATCATTCATTTAGAAAATGCTGGATGTTATGTGGCTTCTTTTGATATGACATCGCCGTTTTTTCCAGAGTTCCGCTTTTTGAATCATAAACGGGATTTGAGAGTACTTCGATTTCACCATGCCAGATCTTAAACAACTACTAATTATGTTCACGAAAAATTTCAACTTTCAATGTAATGACATCATATACCCACAGACTGTTGATGTGGCGATGGAAATTCCAATTAGTCCTGTCTAAGCAAATGTATTTATGGCTAACCTTGGCGAAGCCAACTTTAAAAGGGAAACTGAAATAACGGCGTTTTATGAAGGGTATGTTAGTGATGCTTTTATTGTACGTAGTTAACAAAAAGAAGCGAAAGATTTGCTAATCCATTTTAACGACGCTCATAGAAATATCCTTTTTATTCAAGTAGGTAAAGAATGAGAATTTCCATTCTCCCTATCTTTTTGTACGGTGGGGAATGGAAAATGGTATAATTTAGCCTTCAGTTTATCGTAGAGATACTTGGAATGGTGTTTGTCAAATGGATACGAGAGGTTCAATGGGCATGTTATTCCAGTGCATACGAGGAAACCATAGTACCATAAAAAGTGGTACGGTCCACAGTGAAGAATGAATGTGTAATAATATTAATCAGCTGTAATCCTCCACAGAGCAAGGTTTACTGTTTGTACAGATAGTAGTTGGTGAGAAAAGTGGTTTAAGCACGAGATATAGCGGTATTTCCCATTGGGATAACCTGGTGGCTCAGGGTAAACTCTGAGGACTAGTTATCTTTTTACAAAATTGTCTCGTGAACAGCTAATCCGGAGTAAAGAAACTAATTTTTTATACTAGCAAGTGAACAAGATACTGCATATTTGATCTGCATGTGCAAGACCAACCGGTAAATTCGCACCTATTTAAAACATAACTAAGATTTATCGTTTTGTTCAAAAATGGTTTTGACTTTATTGTACATAGATCATAGTCCACGGGTAAAATTGAACAATTGATTATCACGGTAACTAAAGTCGTGCTTATTTGATTGCTACGTAATTAATAGGATGAGTTGTACGTTGGACACTAAGTGTTTTGCTGTTCAGATGAAACTCACCTTACTGGACGAAAACTTTCTCTACTATTCCATATCTGTAGGTTAAAACAATTCAAACTCAGTTTACGTTAATCATAATAGGCGAAAACAAAGGCTGGGAAAATACTCAACGATGTTGTCACCCATCTTAAAATAACTCACCCTCAGTATTTCGGAATTAAAGTTCAAGACAGAATGCACAACTGGGTAAGAATATTTTTCGAACTTATTAGATGAGTGTAGTCAGCATTGGCTTCATTTTCAGAAAAACATCCTGTATCAAATGAAGTCACTTGGTGAGTTTTCAGTTACAATAAAAGTTTTACTACACTTACTTTAATAACTAATACGTTTCAAATCCAGTCACAAAATTAAAAATGGAAATTACCGATTGAAATAATGATAGTAAAATACCTAAGTATGGTATTTTCCCTTAGGTATCCCAATAAACTTACACAGTTCAACATTTTGAGGAGTTTATACCTTCGTTTAAATAATAATCTAGAGATATTTTTAGGTTAAAAATAAGAATGGGACATAAATAGTATAGTTTTATCTGTTTCTGTCGGCCATGAGTGGAAAACAATTTCGTTTCCATATTTGCTCGTTTTTTGATTTTTAGGTCATGTATTTTTTTTTCATAGTTCCTAAAATTTTCATTATCAGTCAATTTTATTCATGGTCACAACTTGGTAGAATAGTTTGTCGAACCCTGATGGGTTATGTGTATTTTCATATGGAGATTTAACCTCTTTTGAATAAAAGTATGAGGTTTACAAGTCCCTGGGAGCTATCCGCCTATATTAATTCGCTTCATTTTAGCTTGTTAAATTTTTATCGGTTGTTGACAAGCATGTTAAGTTGAACTTGAGTGTGTGTGGTTGTGTGTTGCCCAGTTTTGTGTGTAGGAATAATGATTAAGCGCTATAAATTCATTTTAGTGCTAATGATAGTTCAGCAAAGCAATTCAAAGAAGTTGTAGGTTAGTGAGAATGTTTTCGTTTATATGTCAATAAAAATGTATCAGACGATAATCATGTCAACAGCATTTGGTTTTAAATGCATTATCACTAGTTATCATTGTCCGTAACATATATAGGAATACTTTTACCGTTCACTTACTAACTTTGTAATTCATTCTGTACTGCCTCACACTGTCAAGTTTCACATTTCATCGACATACATATGGGCGAATATCTTAATTTTTAGGTCATTATTTCTAAACGTATGACATGCGAGGTCCAATGTAATATGAAATAAGCTTACAGTTTGTACAATGGGACGTAACTGATATACCAAGTAATAGTTTACACATTCAGCTTCTAATCAAGTTATGTAATGATTGATGTTATTACTTAAATTTGATGAATCACGTTTTAGCCTTAAATCTTGTAATGTGCTTCAATCTATGAGCTACTAGTCCCTTTTTCATTTGGTAATTTGCAGTTCTGTACTCTCTTCTAACTATGATGAACCGAACAGCCGAAAACACATTCTTACTCATTTCTTTCTTTCTTTCTAAATTTACAGACAGTCCACCACTCATAGAACAATCTATCAAACAAACATCAAATCGTCAAGATCCTCAATGTATACCATTAAGAAATGTAATTCCAACTGAATCACAACCGATATCCAGCCTAACGGAAAAGTTTATTTCTTCATTTCGAACATGCGGTCTAAAAGCCTGTTCATCAACATCAAGACCTGAATCAACTCATACCTATGTTAAGAATGTGCACAAACCACTTACTTTAATTTATCAAGCTTATCTTGGCATCAAGTTTTATCCTCCTGACCCAACAATTATTGCTGATGAACAGACAAGGTTTGTATAATTTTTTGATTATTTTAAACTAAATGGCTCTTTGTATAGTATTTTCCCATAAATATTATTTTAAATTAGCTACTGGTATGTTACTCAGATAGTTACCGATAAGTTTTATCGTATGGTCGGCATAAACTATCCTGCGTAAAAAAGCTACAGTGGGTTGCCGTAAAGTTGTTAATTTTTAGTTTGTATCATCTCTAAGTTCCATATCAATACCATTCAGTGTAATAGTCAGAGTCTTTAAAAGTCTGTCCTAATCTGACTAGAATATTCATTTCAATATATGAATGATAAGATAGAAATTCCGATCACCTGGCATTATTCAGAGCGCTGGATAGCTGCTTCATCAAAGTCAAGACATTAGCAACAACTCCCACTCATAATATAAATCAGAATCGAGACAAGTACAGTATAATGTCTGCGTTTTCTGATCAAAAATAGCCAGAATTAAATCCTTTTATTAGCTAAAAGAAAAGGCGCTTTCTTCACTTCTAATTAGTACGGCAGCAAAATATAGAAGGATTGGCACTAAATACCACTTCAAGGCCTTTTCAAAGGCCTATTACATATTACAAGATAACATGATAAAGTTTCTGAGCTTCAAAAAACAGTATAGTCAATAAAATGATGATAATAATAAAAAATTGTCGATGAAAAATTTAATCTCACTGTTAGACGAATAATATGCCAATTACGGAATATTCAAACACCTGGAGAATGAGTTAACTAAAATCTTTAAATAAATAGGAATCTTGACCTAGCTATGCGTATCTGTAGCCTTAAGACAACTGATTCTTCCTGTATGATTCAAACTTATTTAATCTAGTTACATAATCTAAGTTATTGAAGCATCAAACGACCTATAGAAATGAGATAATTACGCTAATTGGTCTCTGTTTAGTGCCAGTTTTTACAAAACCTAGGTTCAACACTTCCTGGTGCTCACCATGAACCATTTAACGCAAATATGTGAGTTTAGTCCACCGATTTCAAATTACTTCATTAAATATTTACCTAAACATACTACCACTAAGCTCTCAACAATACGCACAAAACTAGCTCATGATTCCCTAAGATTTAAGGATTTCTTATGCTAAAGAACTCAGGGCTTCCTGAGTTTTACTATTATTCAAAACAAATATGATATTTTTAATGCATTCATAGTATATTTAACATCCTCGTGAATTACTCAACAAATGCAGTACTGACGATGTATTTGTGTAATCTTTGCTGATGATTGAGTCCAGCACATAAAGTGGAGATGTGTTAAAAATGAAGTTTCACTGAGTCAACTTGACCCGTTCAAGTTTTTCAGGACTTTTCAGATGAAGTCTTCAATGAATTGTAACGTTATCAGGCAGAGCTTAGACAAGAAAGTAATAAGAATCATGCATTACCTTTTCCTTTGGATTTTTTTAATGAACAGCATAATGTCTCTTAAATTGATCTTTTTGCTTTCTTACTAAAAGTGTATTTCGTTTGCTCCTCAGCATTAATTGAATTGTTAGAGCATACGACTAATGTTACCTGCACTGGGACTGATCTGTGATAAAATACAACTTACGACTAAACCCTATGAAACTTTTTTAGCTAAACTATAATGTTGAGCTTACTGGTAACTTCAATATGTTTCTGAAATCCTAGTAAAATCCTAACTGGTAAAATTTAGAAATGTTAGGTGTGAATTGGTTGTTACTAACAGTATTAATGTTTGTCATTCTGTATAAAACTGATTGAAGTTGGCATAATATTTCTGGACAATAACAGCGGCACTGCAGTTCTAATAGCTACTTACTCGCTGATTTACCTGACGATCGCAAGTTCGGTGTCTGTCTGGTGCGTGGCTGTGCAAAATAAACTCCTACACTGAGCTAAAACACCTGTCCAGTGCTCCCTGATTGATTTTCAATGGTGCTTTAACTAATATTCATCGTGACTAATTCATTTTAAAAACTTAAACTGATTCATCCAAACCCTTCCAACTGAACCACATGACCATTTTCCTTCAATTTGAAGTTTATTCAATTTGTTTAATCATTCCAACATTTCATCCTCAAAACTATCAAGTTTTTTCAATCAGATTACGTCAGGTTTCTTTCCCAATCATTGAGTATGATTTAATTTCATCTAGTATCAATGTCACGTTATTATACATCAACTTCATTGCATTATCCCGATAAAAAAAATCAATACCGTGATTACAAATCATACTAATACAGTAAAACAAAGTAACTTTTGTTGATAAATCATATTATGAAAACAAATGATATGAGTTTGAGTATGAATGAATGTTTAAAGCGTAAACTTGTTTTTTTGGTGTTAATGTCTAGATATCAATTTCTTGATTATGTAACATGTGTGTGTAAGAATTTTTGTTAGTTAGAAAAAAAGGGGGATTATTTCTTTTTCCTGAATTGATAGTAAGTAAACAATTGAAAAAGTAGGGTGTACAGTTTAATTGTTTCATTTTACTATGAGATGCATGAGTAATACTCATTTTATAATGTCAGAACACTGGTTATCATTAGAGATTTCTTATCCTTAAAAGATGAGGTTAGGGTATTCCGGAATATTTCAAATGTGTAAAAACACTAATCTCCATAACTCTAATTGGAAATATTGTAATATGTGCTCACCAGTAACTAGTTGCGTGATGAAATTCTCGTAGTTCTAGTGAGAAGATGTGACCAATCGGGTTCAACCCTGTCAGGTGTAGGCAGTAAATACCGAAGACAAAAGGGTGAGCTCGCGCAAAATCCTTAGTCGAATCCTGTGAGGTGCGGGAGTTATGGAATGCGCGCTGCTCATGAGTCCCATTCCAGGTTTCTAATGTTGGTGGTCTAACAATGATTGATTGATGATTTGAAATGTGTGGAAACACTATTCTCCATAACTCTAATTGAAAATATTCTAGATCTTATTGTTTCATATTTTTTCCAACCGGCATTTTGAATTAGGTGTGCAATGAGTGAGAACATTTCCATTTTAGTTTATACAGTGTAATTAACTTATTGTTCAACATTTGAAAGATTATTTTATTTCAGTTGTAGGGGTTATATGAATATTCGTTCATCAGTGGCCCGAGGTGATAAAAGTATACGACAAGGGTTGGTCGTGTAGATAAGAGAGTTATTAAGAGGTGTAGGAAGGATTTAAATGTGACTAGTTTTGACTTGTATGTTGTTACGAGTATTAGAGCGGATGTCACTTGCTGGCTACTGGAAGGGTGTTTTTGAAGTAACCTGAAAAGGAAATAGGATTTGTATGTTGTGATTTACATAGTTTGTGAACACTTAGAGTATTACTGAAAGCCAAAGAGAACTAGACAGTTATTTGGTTCTAGTACGAAGCTTTTCAGTAATGTGTACCCACTACTTCACCAGAGACTGAACACAAGATCCTCAGGTTTCATGATGAACACTTAACTATTAGGACTACTGGGTGACATTTTGTTGGAAAAAATAGACGCCAAATATATGCCTAAGTAAACAACAAATCAAAATTCAATAAGGCGCCCAATTTTTCTGGATAATTAAAATTCATGTCATAACAATAACCTGTCATTTTTCTGTTAGTCTCTGGTTTCGATTAAGCAATGACTGTATTTCATTTATAACCTCACACCCATAATGTAACTAACTATACCACGTTTCATTCTAGTAAATCTTTACTATTCGACCCAATATAATATAGAATCACTTGAATTCCATCAAACTTCTCAACAGATTTTATGAAATTAGTTAGTATTAGTATAAAGTTGACTATATTAATATAACTTCTATTGATATGGTTAATAATGTAAACTTACACACAATTATTATCGAATGTGTCAGGTTGATATCATTTTGGTCAATCGCTTTTTTGTTGTTGGAAATGCTCTATTTTTAATTGCAAAACACAATACAATGACCTGAATTTTGTTCAGTTAAACCAATATGTGTTTACATCTCTATTCACAAGTTCTTCTTCACCATTCTACTGGAGTTTTTTTTATGACTATCAATCTTTTATTTTTTAACTGCATATTAGCAGGGAGTCAACAACAAAAAAAGAAGCATACATCGAATTATTACCCGCATGAATTGTTTGAAAACACAATGGACTTACTAATTGGATATGATTTGAATATATAACTGATAATATGTGTATATATTTGTGAATTAGATAATTAGTTTCTAAACAGATTTGCACAAATAAGGCTTGTACACTAAGGTAATAACGTTATTTAGTCAGTAAACAGTGAGCCAATAATCAAAGTAAAAATGGTGTAGTGAAAGAGAACACAGGTGAGGGCAACCGAATTGATTGTATTTAACGAAAATTACAGAGTTACTCAGTAGTAAAATAGGAAAACCATATCGTAAATCGTTCATTTGCAAAATATCAGTCCATCATCATATCGAACTGGACTGTTCCTGTTGCAAAACATCAACAATCCATTGTCACTCACTATTCATGCGTTTCATACACAAATTCCATTGTGTTCTGCTGCTAGACATTACGTTGACACACACGTCATATACTACTTATAGGTAGTTCGCACCACAATGGTTTTAAATATCGTTTAACTTATGATTCTCAAAAGTTATTGAAAAAAAATTTATCAGAATATTGACAGTACTGTATTTTTTTTGTATTTCAATTCTTAAGTTCATGCGTAATTGGTAAAAATATAAAATTTGCATTACGGGGTTGTGAAGATTGTTAAGTTACACATTTTTTGAAACCATGAATCGATCAATGTTAGACCACCATTAGAAACCTGGAAGCACTGGACCAGTGAAGTTCAACCTGTACGGGTGTAAGCAGTGTCTACCGAAGACTGTGTATGAGGTTGCGCAACTCCGTGAATTTGATCAAGTTAGACATTAACACCGTTAAGTACTGGCTCAGTGGTCTGACGGTTAGGGCGTTCGCGCTGAGTACCGAAGGTCCTGGGTTCGAATCCTACGGGGTGCAGGAGTCGTGGATGCGCACTGCTGAGGAATCCCATACTAGGACAAGACGGCCGTCCAGTGATTCCAGGTTTGATCAATTCATGATTTCAAGAAATAAATAAAATTCCCTAGAAATTTAACTCATACACCTTTTTTAAGACATAAAATTAGATAATTTCAATCCATGATACATTATCTTGAAAGTTTAGTATCTGAAGATATAACTGACAAGAGTAGCTCGAATGATGTTTATCGTTCTTGGCCGACTGAGGCTCATTATTCACTGATGTCAATCGTATAGCAGAAAAAATTAGCGTGCTCAACGTCACATTTACTTTAGTTTACTTTCATACAGTGTAGATACAAAGTTGTATTCATATATCCATACTGTCAAGTGGAGGGGTTTAAGTTTTTCATTATTTATTCCTTTACAATTGGAAGATTTGTTAAATGATGTTATGTATTTTGGCACATTGTATATAATAAACATGTATAAAGTTTTATAATAATGATTGTTTAAATAATTACTATGTTTAACTTGTCGAAATGAAAATACTGATTCGATGCTTAATTCTCCTACTTCGGCATCACTTGTCACGTTTACTTTGGTTTCACTAATTATGTTGTTGTCATCATTATCAATGTTTATTTCCATTGATAGTCTTCTGGAAAATGTGATAATTACTGGCTCAGTGTCGCAACGGAAAGTTATACTGTTAAAACGCTAAAGAATATCTTTATACATCAACACCGTTCGATACCGGCTCAGTGCGCAAGACCGAAGGTCACGGGTTCGAATCCTGTGAGGTGCAGAAGTCGTGGACGGGCACTGCTATGTGAATCCCATTCTAATAAGAAACGGCCGTCCAGTGCTTCCAGGTTTTCAATGATTGTCTAACATTGACTGATTCATAATTTCAATAAGTAACTCAACGACTTAACACAACCACACAATACATGTCTTTGGTTGTCGTATACAGCAACATATGATTCAAACCCCTTAAACTATAATCCAACGGTTCAATACTGAATTGTATTCATCAGTACGCTCATGAAATAACTATCCCAAGGAATAGCTGTATATTACTTACTTACTTACTTACGCCTGTTACCCCCAATGGAGCATAGACCGCCCACCAGTTTTCTACAACTAACTCTGTTCTGGGCTTCCGTTTACAGTTCTGTCCAATTTTGGTCAATTCTTCTATATCTTTCTCGTCATAATTCTTCTTCCAACTCCCAGGGCAGAGTTAAAATGGTTTGAATTATTTCTTCTGGTTAGTGTTTTTTTTTGGCAAGTTAATTTTTAGTTGGAATTGGGGCGCCAACCTCATTCCCGACCCCCTCCACCTTTATCCGGGCTTGGGACCGGCAGTAGCCCCGAAGAGTCTACAGGCAGAGTTATAACTGTATATGCCTACTGCAAATGAATACACTGATCTTCAGTAAATATGACACTTTTTATCAAGTTAAATGTCCAACTTTAAAACCACTTATATTAACTGAATTCAGTGCAATGGAGACATTCATGTGTCTAAATAGTTTGTATTTTTATCTGTCATTCAAAAAAAGTTATTCAGCAGTAATGATCGGGCACATGTTCTTCTTTTTGTTCTTCGTATAGATATCAAGTTTTTATTCAAGTTCGAAATGATTTAATTAGTGGTCGAATGCAAGTTGACGAAAATCTGTTTGTCACGTTATGTGGATTGATTTTACAATGTAAGTAAAATCATTCATTGTTGTTTGTTTGTATTTCCTGGATTTCTATGTTTTATTGTTCTTCTTTGTATGGCGACTTGAACTGACCTACGTAGGTACAAACTTTTACGTTGTAACTGATTTGTCCAATAATGGTTTTTTCTTGTCATTAAGTTTTTAGTGTTCATTTGTGACCAGTTCATGCAGAATCAATCCAATACTCTTCATTTCACATCAATTTAGCCACTGAATCTGTGTGGAATAGATATTTCCAGACCTTAATTTTAATTTCTGACATAACATAATACTTATCAAATCATCTCCTTCATCACGGACGTAGTTGTTTCTCGTTATAAACATTGAGAAATCTGTAGAGAGATTTGCATTCAGTGAAAATAGCCCTCGTTATAAAATCGATAACCACTGGGGACTACCCATGAAATCCAGACAAAGCTAGGGCAGCTGGTTACTTTAATCGAATGTCAGTCTTTTGTAAATATTACCATAACTAGCTTCGTGAGGAAATTCTCAGAGTTTTATTGAGAAGACGCGACCAATGGAGTTCAACCCTGTCGAGTGTAGGCAGTAACTACCAAAGACAAATGGGTGAGGTCACGCAAAATCCTTGGATCAATCAAAGTTAGATATTAACACCGTTGGATGCCGGTCCAGGAGTACAGAGGTTAGGCGTTTGCGCACAAGACCAAAGGTCCCAGGTTCGAATCCTGTGAGGTGCAGGTGCTGTGGAATGCTCACTACTGGTGAGCTCTAAACTGGGACAAAACGACCGTCCAATGCTTCCCGGTTTCTTAGGTTGGTTGTCTAACAATGATTGACTAATGATTTCAAATGTGTAAAAACATTAATCTCCATAAATCTAATTGAAAAAAATTTAATTTTACGTCGATCTCTAATTTTAAAACTAGTGAAAAATGTTAAATACTTATAAGTCTACATCATTTTATCTTGTCAACGTGATAGTCAAAAGTCTGAGATAAGATGACAGTAATATTTTTGCATTCGTTGTCAAAGCCAAACTAGATCAGTTCAAGTTCGAACATGCTAACAGATGGTTGGTTGGCATTCGAAAGTTATTCATCAAATCAGTAACCTGTTAATCAATCACAAAAGTGTTGCAGTGTTATATGATTTGCCTAATGATTAATTGATTTATTCATTACATTGATATTGACGCTGAGATTTCGTCAGTCACCAGGTAGTCTCATCAGTGCTGACGGCCTGGTGACTGACGGAATCTCAGCTCGGATACAGAAGGCTCGATTGTCTTTTGCCAACCTGCGTCACTTATGGCGTAGGCGAGATATCCGTTCGCTAACCAAAGGAAGAGTGTACTTCGCAGCAGTTCGCTCCGTTCTCTTATATGGATGCGAAACATGGCCGTTAAGAGTAGAAGATGTTCGTAGGTTACTAGTATCCATCAAGTCACTGACAAGTGGACTGAGTCATGTTGGTAGATGTACGCCATCTGGTTGGGGTCCACGAGATGATTATCATTGATGGTTAGAGACCTTAAATGACATGGCTCAAAACCGTTTGCAATGGCGCAAGTGCATTCATTCGTTGTGCTCGCTAAAATCCTAATCTTCTGGATTCATCAACACCTCTACCCTTGTCTTTCTAACCTTATCTCACTGAATTATACTTCTTGAATAATATCTTCGAACCCTAGTCTTCTTCATTACCATTAATACCTCTACTATCTTTATCACTATGGGATTTGAACTGACAATTGCGTCTATGTGCTAATGTAGTATGGCAGCAACATGAACTTAGGTACATACGTACGAAGTTCTACGTTGCAACTGACTGACTGACTGACTTACATTGATATAATGATTTGCTTTGTACAATTCGGATTCATTTTTTTTGTGTACTTAGCTGATTGTGGCGATTATGGAGCAGATCGTTTAGGATCGAATTATGTAAAACATTTATTAAAATTGCCTAATCTTAATGAACAATTGGAGAAAAGAATCAAAGCTAAACATGAAGATTGTCGGTAAGTGTAAATGATGTAATCTGTGCTTCTATGATGTTTAATGATTGTATAATATCAGGATTCATATTTCATTTATCCATAGACTAGAGAATGTCCATGGAAATTATGATAGGACTAGACATTATCTGTTTCGTTCTCGTTATGTACTACTACACAACCACCCCAGCTAAATGGGTGAGGCCGCGCAAAATCCCTAGATCAATCAGAGTTAGACATTAACACCGTTGGATGCCGGCCCAGTGGTCCGATGGTAAGGCGTTCGCCTACAATGCCAAAGGTCCCGGGTTCGGATCCTGCGAGGAGCAGGCGTCCCATACTAAGACGAAACGGCCGTCCAGTGCTTCCAGGTTTCTAATGCTGGTCTAACAATGATGATTGATTAATGATTTCAAATGTGTAAAAAACGCAAACCTCCAAAACTGTGCCCCAATAAATGAAAAGCATTTATTGACTATACGCAAGAGCCTTATTAGAGATGGGATTTACACCGCTGAGGAGATTCATGCTAAAACACATCATTTATGAATTGCTTTGTGACTTTCATAATTTTTTTTCAGCTAAAATTAATCTGTAATGCAAACTAAAAATATTTTTCCTCTGGGCAAAAAATTTAATCTCTGACTATGATCATGCGAAAATGTGTTTACTTAATACGATAAATACTATATTTGCATCAATTAAAAACAGTAATCAAAGTATTTCATTATTATTGAAACTGAATGAAATAAATGTTGCTAATCACTAGTAAACACATGATAATTGTCATTATATAGAGTTGGGGAGATTGTTAAGTTTCATTAAAATCATGAATCAATCAATGTTAGACTACCATTAGAAACCTTCAAACGCTGGACGGCCGTCCACTCTTAGTATGGGACTGCTCATCATCAGTGTGTAATGAATTTGAATATTATTTTCAAGAATTTCGCAACATCAACATCGATGACCTTCTGTCGAGTAAGTAATAAGCTAGTGCCTTTGTCCAGTTAGTTAGAAAATGGTTATGTACTGTGTATCGAGCTGCTCATACAAACCAACTTTTCGTAGGTTACTGGTTTTCGATCATAGGTGTCTTCGAAGCATTGCTCGTATATCGTGGGACAACCGAGTAAGCAATGCTGTAGTTAGGAAACGAGTACTAGGTAAGAATGACAGGTCAATCGATGAAGTGGTGAAACTTCATCAGTTGAGGTGGTTGGGATTTGTCTTGCGTATGCCTAATCACCAACTGCCTCGACGAGCTTTGTTTTGTAGTGTAGGAGTAGGTTGGAAGAACGTTAGGGGCGGCCAGACCAAAACATCGCAAAAATCCATGAAGTCATTGACTAGTGGACTGAGCCATGTCGGTAATTGTCGACTACCTGGTTGATGTCCGCGGGATGAAAGTTACCTCTGGTTAGAGACCTTGAACGACATGGCTCAGAATCGTTTGTAATGGCGCAGTTGCATCCACTCTTTGTGTTCTATGAAATTCTAACCTTCTGCATTCCTCATAATATCCACCTTTCTCCTAAATTTATCTTACTGAATTATACTTATCGAATCATATCTTCGCTCCCTAATCTTCTCCATTACTGCTAATACTTCTATTATTGCTATCACTCTTGGATTTGAACTGATAGTTACGTCTCTGTGCTGACGTGGTATGGCATCCTGAAATGATGTACTTATGTATGAAGTTCTGTGTTGTATCCGTGTCTGTCTTTTTGTCTATACACAGAGTTCTCTTTATTATTTTGAAGAGGATAGAAACAAATATTGATATAAATTATGATGAATTCATTCGATTTCACTAAGTTCGCATCAACTACTTACAAGTTATACTATTTTAAAATCAAAATTATCAAATCAAAATTAAATTACTCACAAATACGGTGTTTCAAGATATGTATGTCACAATGCTGTCAAGTTTCCAACAAAGTGAATGAGGTTATAAAAAATATGCCAGAGGTATATATATTAAGTGTGAGAGTGAAAAGTTCCAGAATATCGAAATATTGATTAGAAATCAAGCAGTTAAGGATGGTTGCGTATTGAATTAACTGAGATCAGATGAAAGATAATAAAAATTAATATGAGTTGAAATCAGTCAATTAGAAATAAAAATGACGTAATCAAAGAATGAGCTACAGTTGAAATAAGGGACAATGTAATCGGATCGATTGATTACTGTCTTGTTTTGAATACACGGATTTGATTTCAGACGTTTGATGGATACAACTTCGGTAAATTTCGGCAGAAGGGGGTATCAGGTGTTTATTATTGATCATCTTGAAAGACTTTAGGCTATCCACCTGATGTGCTGTTTCAAATAGATATCTAAAGATCACCAATCTAACTGCCTTGATTGATATATGTGAATTTGTATACACGTTTGACGGTAACATGAAAGGGATACCTATCAACCTTTGATTGATAGCAGAATATGCTTTTGTCAATGCCGTTCTTAGTCTCAGGTTTGATTGTGAAATTCATCATCTTGAACACTATCAGAGGTCTGTGAACGGTTGTTGCTTCTCATCGGCGTATCTCATGAAAGGATATTTGTTCTTGACAAATGTTGACGTTTAACAATATAAGTAGCTGTCCCATATATTTAGAAGTAAGACCTCAGAGCTTAAGTGATAAATGCTTTAGGTTAATGATATTCAACTTGTTTGTGAGTATCTTTGTGTGTTACTACTCAACCTTGCAATCCAAAGAGCGCTATCAAACAAAATTCTATGGGAGGAGGAGGAGGAGAGCTCTACTACTTTTATGGCTTATATTTTCTAAGCTGCATTTCATCGTGAGTTCCCCTGATTATTGATTCGAAATGGACATCTATTCAATCCAATACAGATAACAGTATGACGTTACTCATAGCCTATAAGTTTGCTGTTTCTAACCTTGATCAAAATCCACCCAACTTGCTTAGCCTGACAGAACATTAACGAACAATTAGCTTAGCTCCATTGAGTCCACATTGTAGGCGAACCCTGACCATTACGTCAGCATGACATCTACGATTGAGAGCATTCATTTCAAAATATTTCAGTATATTTTTTTTCAGTTGACTATTTTTAACTAACATTTTTGACAAATATATCCGTTAGATATACTAAAGCATTTCATACACCAACTCTGTATTTTCCTTTATGTGATATTATAGTGTAGGAATTAGTATATAGATGGTCATATTCCAGTCTAAGTGTAAAGTGTGCCATTCTTTTATGTTCTTACTTAGCGTTATATGTTTGATTTCTCAAATATTGCTTCGAACGTTTTGAACACAGTACAATAGAATAATAACATATTTTACACTTTGTAGTGTAATTGTTACATTCGTTGAATCCTTCAGTCAGTCAGTCAGTTGCAACGTAGAACGTCGTACGTATGTACATAAGTTCATGTTGCCATACCACATTAGCACAGAGACGCAACTGTCAGTTCAAATCCCATAAAGATAGAGATAGTGTAGGGGTATTAATGGTAATGAAGAAGACTAGGGTTTGAAGATATTATTCAAGAAGTATAATTCAGTGAGATAAGGTTAGAAAGACAAAGGTAGGGGTGTTGATGAATCCAGAAGATTAGGATTTCAGAGAGCACAACGAATGAATGCACTTGCGCTATTGCAAACGATTTTGAGCCTTGTCGTTCAAGGTCTCTAACCATCGATTATTATCATCTCGCGGACCCCAACCCGGTAGTCGACAATTACCGACATGGCTCAGTCCACTAGTCAATGACTTCATGGATTTCTGCCATGTTTTGGTCTGGCCGTCCTTAGTACTAATCGAATTCTAATGACCATTTGAAGTTATGTAACCCGATAGTTTTCTGTATTTATATTTGACTTTATATTCTGATTAACATTTGCTTTCAGCTGATGAGTGCTCTTCTAGGTATTCTTCACCAGGAAATTCGGTAATTTATTTAATAATGAATATATTTATTCATCTAAATTTTTAGTATTTTCATTCTTTTGTTACAGATGTCGTCAACCTGCTTTAGTGGAATATCAATTGTTGGATAAAGTGAAACAATTGCCAACATATGGTCAAATAAAATTTCACATCAAAGTAAGCAAAATCATGTAAAACAAATAACGCCCAGCTTTCTAGTTTATTGTCTTCAAAGTAAAATTAAATACAAGGAGTTTTGTTATTTCAACTAGATAAAAACTAATTGTAGAAGTATAGAATAACTGTTTTAGTGTTTTCATATAACTTCACTATTTTCACTTCATTGTTGTAGGAATGAGGATTATTATTGAGGAAATAAAATTCTGTGCTCATTACAATTAAGGAATTATCTAGAGTAGATGTTGCTGTCAGTTATTTAGTCATTTGTAATGTAGAACTTGGTACGTACGGGTGACATTTCAGGTCCTCGTAATCCGTTGGCACATATAGTTTAGATGGTCAGGCTAAATACCACAGTAGTGGAGGATGTAACCTAATCACTGGTAGTGAAAAAGATTACTTACTTACGCCTATTACCACCCAACGGACCATAGGCCGCCCACCAGTTTTTCCAACCAACTCTATCCTGAGCTTCCGTCTCCAGTTCTGTCCAATGTTTGTTCATTCTTATTCTCATGTCTTTCTCTATTTCTCGGCGCAATTTGTTCCTTGGCTTTCCTCTTTTCCTTTCGCCTTGAGGGTTCCATGCAAGGGCTTGTCTCGTGACGCAGTTAGATGCTTTTCGTAATGTGTGTCCTATCCACTTCCATCGCTTCTTCCTGATTTCCTCCTCCACTGGAATCTGGTTTGTTCTCTTCCACAGTACGTTCTTTCTGATGCTGTCTGGCCAACGGATCCAAAGTATTTTGCGTAGATAACTGTTAATAAACACTTGTACGTTCTGGATGATGGCTTTGGTAGTTCTCCAAGTTTCCGCTCCATACAGTAGAACTGTAGTGGAAAAAATTAGGCATCAAATGTACGATTCAAAAAAATATAAATCAATGAAATAAAAACTTACTATCGATTCAGAAGCTTATAATTCGCAGCGAATGGATGTGCCTGCACTATCGCAAACTATTTTAAACTACGTCTTTAACCACTGGTTACGATTGTCACGAAGACTACACCCAACAAGTTAGTCTGCACTTACTTAACATGACTCAGTCCTGTTGTTATTAACTTCACGGAATGATACCATTTTTTCAGAGTATTCATCATCGGCATATTTTAATCCAACGAGCCAATCTCCTGATTAAAAATCAATTCCTGAATTTATCTAGTCGCTTAAAATTTGTCGCTCAAATTTTCCTTAAAACATTATTTTGAAATTAACTACTTAAACATTTAAAAGTAGCCAAATTGATTTAAATAAAAACATTTATTTTACCATATTTTGTATGAATGCTTCCTTCTAAACTTTTATAAAAAATCAGATTTTTTTTTAATAATAAAGCGTATTGACACAAGGAATCAAGAATTCATCCAAGTATATATATTATCTAATGTCATTGAGAATTTTTTTTCAGTGATTTTTTTAATCTAATCTAGTTTCACTTTTTTTATTCATCTGTCATGATATAATGTTTGACAGTTTGAGATTGTATAGAAAGAAAATTAGTTTAGTGGAAAACTATTTTTGGGTTATTCTTCTTTTTTTTGCGAGTGAATAGTGATAAACATGTTTGCCTATGTTTACAATTTTCTAATAATGATTTTGATTCAAATGGAAAGGTTGAAAGCTAAGTTGATTGGTTTTTTTCTGGTGTTGTATATCAGCAAGGATTTAATGATGCTTAACATGAATCAAACGAATTTATTTTATACGATATGATACAGCCCCTTAAGCTTGTACACAACCTAAAAAAACACAACTCAATTTTGTGGCACAATCACATCGGTGACGAGAATCCTATGTAGGATTCAAACTGAGGTTTGGATTGAGGAATAACTGTCTAGGTAGTTTAGATATGCGTCTTGCTTGGTTGAAATCAAAATAAGTGATTTGTATAAATAACGGTTCTAATATTCATCATAAATATAAATATACATCATTACCTAAACAAATATTACCACTTGGTTATTCCATCAACAATTGTTCAATTATTCAAATTGACATTAACACCATTAGATACCGGCTCAGTGGTCCGATGGTTAGGCGTTCGCGCACAATACCAAAGGTCCTGGGTTCGAATCCTGCAAGTTGCAGGAGTCGTGGGTGCGCACTGCTGAGGAGTCCCATACCAGGACGAAACGACCGTCCAGTGCTTCAATGTTTTTAAAAGGTGGTCTAACATTGGTCGATTCATGGAACAAATAAATGATATTCTAACCCTCCTGGATTGATCAAATTCGTTCGGAAGATAACATTTGGTTGCTTTATAACGCAGAGTGCTTCAATTCACAATGGAAATGCACAATTCCAGTCAATACAAGAGGCACAATCAAAAGAGGAACAGATCAATGTGGCTGTCGCGATGACTAAGAGTATCAGCTTAAACAACATGAATGCAATTCAGAAAGAAACACATAGAAATTCAGTAAAGGCTGAAGAAAATAGAAACTATTATAAAATACAAATATTATCATCTCAAAATGGAGTCGAATAGATTAACAAAATGTACAACTGAAGGAATCAATAAGGACAAAGCACAAATGTATACATTGAGGTTTGTCATAAACAAAGCCTTCAAATCGGATCTTACACGCCGCTCGACTAATAACAATCATGAAATCTAGTGTTAATTGAATGCAAAGGAGACTTAATTTAGTCAGCCTTAGTCTTTTAGTTAAAAAAGTGATTTTATTTCAAAATAAGATTCTGTTTTCTACAATTCTAATCCTTAGTTGTATGTTTGTTTTTTTTAAAAAATTATTTCATGATGTTATTTCTCTAGGAGACCATATCAAATACACCATGTCTACTTTGTCTAGGACCAGTCGGTGTAATTATTGAAGATTCAAGAAAAAATCTAATTCAATTTTCATGGTTAGTTATAATTATTAATTTCTGCATAAATATTGTTTTTTCAATTAGACTTATGGAGGTTTTGTGTTTTTACACATTTGAAATCATCAATCAATCAATCATTGTTAGACCACCAAGATTAGAAACCTGGAAGCGGCACTGGACGGCCTATTCGTCCTGGTATGGAACCCATTAGTGGTAGTGTACATCCAAGACTCCTGCACCATGCAGGATTCGAACCGGGGACCTTCGGTCTTGCGCGTGAACGCATGATCATCGGACCACTGGGCCGGCATTAAATAGTGTTAATGTCTAACTCTGATCAATCTACAGGTTTCGCCCCACCTCATCCATTTTTCTTTGGTAGTTACTGCCTATACCTGACAAGGTTGAAATACACTGGTCACATCTCACTAGAAGTTTGAGAATTTCCTCACGAAGCTAGTCACCTGTGAGCACATTTTATGAGTCCCATACCAGGAAGAAACGGCCTTCCAGTGCTTCCTGGTTTCTAATGGTGGTCTAACAATGATTGATTGATTGATGATTTCAAATGTGTAAATGTTCTTTCGTTTTTTTTACAAATACAAAGGTAAATTGATTTACATCATTCGAAAGATTTATTTTGTCCATTATCATCAAATCTATTATCCATTAAAATGTTCAAAATTTTTCGGTTTTATTTTTCCGAAATATTTTGATAGTATTTTCATTGCACTAAAATATTGGATGCTAGATACACTGTCGTCGTATTGAGATTTACATGATTTCTCTGATTAATACTTAAGCTGAGCTATTATGATTTATGAGACAATGTTCAGGAAAGGCCTCGGTTTATGAAGAAAACAGCCTTGAAAGCAGTAAAGATAATGCTAAACACTATTGATCAGTACATTTATATTGGTTGTTCGAATCGTCTCATTGATGTTTAGGACTGCAATTGATCAGTCTTTTTGACATATGTGCATGCTGTGTGCATTGCCTCCATATTGCCGATCGATTACGAGCATTCTGTCTTATGATGATCTGTGTTATTCGACAAGTAACCGATAAAGAAAAATATGAGAGATTCCATCAGAATACCACTGTGAACAGTATAATAGTCAATCAGACAAACATGACGATAAAGGGGTTAACGAGTTCTTAAAACTAGCCAACGTGATCTTATAAAATAAATTTTTCAAACAATCACCCATAGAAATTTATTTGTGAATCAGTGACAAATAGTATTATGGGCAGAGGTGGATAGACGTATGCAGTGGAAACTAGGATGTGCGTTTTGTTCCATCCGGGACATCGTCATCAAATAAATTAATTTTCAGTCTGTTGCACAAGCAACAAGTTATTCGGACGCCGTAACTAAGTGGATAACGTATTGGCTTTTGGAGTCAAAGGTGGTGGGTTCGAGTCATGGATTGGACATGACCTTTAACGTGCAGGTACATTTAACTACTGACGAGCCCCAAAATAGGAAAAAATACTCGTTCTGGATTCTAATGCTAGAAATTATCCATGTCTGCTAATAATTCTATTTGTCACTGATTCACAATTAGATTTCTATGAGTGATTGTCTCAAAAATTTATTTTATAAGATCAAGTTGGCTAGTTTTAAGAATTCGTTAACCCCTTTATCGTCATGTTTGTCTCATTGACTAAGATACTGTTCACATTAGTGTTCTGATTGAATCTCTCATATTTTTCTATATCGGTTACTTGTCGAATAATACAGATCCTTGTAAGAGAGTATGGGGGATAACAACTCATATCCAGCCCAATTAATCAACGAAACTTAATAAATTCACCACACATTTGTAGCTCAAGTTATAGTTATGACTGAACACTATCAACACAATTTACTAAATCATAGATATCAGTAAGAATGAATACTGTATATCCTCCATTATTTCACTCTCCAATACAGATAATTTTATCCCCACTGTGTACACATATGTCTACAATCTACCCCATTATCATATTGAGAATCATGAGAGTTATAATACTATTCTCGTATAATTTAGAATTAAACTTACTTACTTACTTACTTACGCCTGTTACCCCCAATGGAGCATAGACCGCCGACCAGTTTTCTCCAACCAACTCTGTCCTGGGCTTCCTTATCCAGTTTTTTTCATTCTCATATCTATCTCCATTACTCGGCGTAATGTGTCCCTTGGCCTTCCTCTCTTCCTTTTACGTTGAGGGTTCCATGTGAGGGCTTTCCTAAGAATCATCTGAGTGCTTTTCGTAGTGTATGTGTCCTATCCACTTCCACCGCTTCTTCCTGATTTCCTCCTCCACTGAAGGAATCTGTTTTGTTCTCTCGCATAGTTAGTTGCTGCTCATAGTGTTCGGCCAACAAATCCGAAATTTCTTTTTCGTAGACAACTGTTCCTGTATCTTCTGGATGTGATGGTTTTGGAATGTTGAAATTAAACGATTCAATTACGATGATAGGTGTTTAACGTCTCGATTATTCATTATTCTAACTTTTCTCAAATTTTTTTTCAAATTCTACTCACTAAATTTAATTCATGACAAAAAATTTTTTTTTTAATTTAAACAAGAACAAACAATCAAATCACTGCAATTTATTTGAATATATTATGAAAATTTATGCCTCGAGTTCATTTAAGGATAATAATAATAACAATAATAATAATAATAGTAATAATAATCAGTTTGTGTCTCTTTCATATACAGAAATATAGATCTATATAGTTAAGACAGAATGAGCAAATATTTCATCTGATATTTAAACTCTTACTGACAATAATAATAATAGAAATAATAATAATAATATTGTTTTTTTTGTAAGAAAAATAAAAAATAAAAAACTGAGTTCATAAGATTCGAAATGAAAAAAAAAATTTTTCAATTATCATCAAGTGTCAAATGATTTCCGTTAGTTTAAGAAAAAGGAGAAGTAATGATAAACTTCTCTCATTTCACTTACACCAACACACCACACCACCCCACTCCCCTAGTCATCCTCAACAATGATCAGTGTACAAGTCAAAATTCAATATCTTGACTTCTCGATAATATATATATATATATATATATATATATATATATATATATATATATATATATATTATAAATAGTACTCTATTTCTCAATCGGATCAATATTTTCAATGGTTGACAATCTGGCCATGATTCGATTAATCTCGTTGTTCTTATGTAAAAAAGAATTCACATTAGTTTGTCGTTTGTTGTGTACTCACTCCTATTGTGCATGTTATATGAAGTTTATTATTATGATTATGATTTTGTGATGTGTTTTATTGAATTGATGAATATTAGACCTGGCACGGGACTCATCAGTGACAGTGCGCATCCACGACTGCTGCTTCGCGCAGGTTTCGAACCCCTTCGGCATTGTAGGCGAACGCCTTACCATCGGACCACTGGGCTGGCATCCAACGGTGTTCATGTCTAACTCTGATTGATCTAAAGATTTTGCGCGACCTCACCCGGGTTCGAATCCTGCGAGGAGCAGGATTTCAAATGATAGATTGATCTTTATACATGAATAATAACTATTGTCAATGAATAATTTCAAATAATTCAATCTTTTTAATATTTTTTCAAAATAAAAAAATTATCTCTTCTTTTTCTTTTGCTTTATTGTTAATTTTCAGGTCACAGATTACCGGTTTTAATCATAAACATAAACAAATTTTAATTAAAATTTTAAATGAGGTAATTCAAAGTTGAAAAATGATGAATAAATTCACTCGTCCTTTTTTTAATTAGTTTACATAACAATATTAGTAATGTGTTTCCATTGTGTTTTTGTGATGTACAAAACTTTATCATTGCTTGAATTTTATTTATCAAAGCTGATTTTATGAGCAATGACAGTTAACACTTGTTCGACATGGTATCCTAATGATTTTAAATAAATAAGTTAATGTTTTTTTCAAGAGCGGAGCTAATCTTCAGAAAACCTTTCATAAAAAGGCCGTGCGTGACCGGCCTCAAGCAGTTGTCCCTTGGGCTCTGCGGTCGCGCACCCAAGTCTCTAAGACCAACACTAATCTATCTTTCTTTTCAGGTCCCTCAAGAAACAACTTTCCATGGTGTGTGGGCAGCTGGGAAGTGATAAGCGCCCTCATACCCGTACCAGTAGCACACGAGACCTAATTGGTCAAAATCAATTCCTTCCTACACCCCCTAATACCTCTCTTATCTCCACAACGAACTCTTCTGACATTCCTTTATCACATTGCACAGCTAATGCAAACACTGCTGACAAGTGAACTGAGTCATGTAGGTAGATATAGGCTACCTGGTTGGGCTACGCGAGACGATAGTCACCAATGGTTAGGGACCTTGAATGACATGGCTCAAAATTGTTTGCAATGGCGCAGGTGCATCCATTCTTTGTGTTCTATGAAATTCTAAGCTTCTGCGTTCCTCATAATCTCTACCTTTCTCCTTCTAAATTTATCTTACTGAATTATACTTCTCGAATCATATCTTTGTTCCCTAATCTTCTCCATTACTGCTAATACTTCTATTATTGCTGTCACTCTTGGATTTGAACTGACAGTTGCGTCTCTGTGCTGATGGGGCATAGCAACCTGAACTGATGTACTTACGTACGAAGTTCTGCGTTGTATCTGTCTGTCTGTCTGTTACTAATGAATTTGTTGATTTATTCTAAACGTAATTGCGTTTATTTTCCGGCGCAGGTGCATCCACTCTTTGTGTTCTCTTAAATCCTAATGCTCTGAATTCTTCATCGTCTTTGTCTTTTTAAGTTTATTTCAATAGATTCTACTTGTTGAATAATATTCTCGAACCCTAATCTCTGCGATTACTGCTAATACCTTTAGTACCTCTACTACGATTGGATTTGAATTCACAATTGTGTGCCTGTGTTAATAGGGTTTGGCAACATGAACCGATATACGTAAGTACATACATACGAAGTTCTACGTTGTTGTTGACCTGACTTGATATTTCTAAACATTCACGTTCATAGTTAACCATAGATAAGGAAGTGCCTCTTGTAAAAAATAACTGTTCATAGTTCATGTCTGACTTCAAATTGATTTATGATTTTGTAGTAGTATACAAACATCTTTGAATGTCACTGTTGTGCAACTTAGCCTGCAGTCGGTATAGTTGAGTTCTCATTAAAATTTCAAGAATAATTTCTTAAAAATCAGTCACAAGTGAATGGACGAATAATAATGACATATATGTTGTGGGTTGTGGGGGAGGTTCATTCTAAATTTATGATGCAAACTAATACATAAAATTCAATAATTTCCCCTCGCCCAATTTACAGTTGTCTTTTACAAGGTGGTTAGGGCATATGTTGCGTATGACTAACCAACGACTGTCTCATCGAGCTATGTTTTGTAGTGTAGGAGTAGGTTGGAAGAAAAGAACTAGGGGCGGCCAAACCGGAACATGGCAGAAGACCATGAAATCGCTAACAATTGGATTGAGTCATGTTGGTAGATGTGGACTACCTGGTTGGGGTCCGCGAGACGAAAGTCACCAATAGTTAGAGACCTTGAATGACATGGCTCAAAATTATTTGCAACTACACAGATGCATCCACTCTTTGTGTTCTCTTAAATCCGAACCTTCTGAATTCCTCATCATCTCTATCTTTCTCTTTCTATATTTACCTCACTGAATTATACTTCTTGAATTAGCATCTTCTAATCCTAATCTCTCCGATTACTGCCAATACTTTTACTAACTTTACTACCATGAGATTTGAATTGACATTTACATCTCTGTTCTTATGTAGTATGGCAACATGCACTGATCTACGTACATACGTACATACGTATAAAGTTCTACGTTGCTATAGATTGATTGATCTCGTTTTTTTTTGAAGAAGTAGTAGATTACCTGAAAAAATACACTTCTTATTAATGACCAATGTAGCAAAATATTGATACATTTCATTTATATATATACATATATATATTGAGTGACGGTTCCGCAGAGGTCTAAAATGAATGAATATGATATACGTATTGGATAATAAATATACAAATCCTTTTAGGTTTGTTCTCAGAGGTTGCTTTCATGTAACTCCTCTCCGGCTATTAACATGCGTAAATGGATCTGTTTATGTAATTACCTGACTTGATTACTGAGAGAAGGAATAAATATAGGCTTTGAAATACCTATTTAATCACAATATATGTTCATCATAAATTGTGATATATGTGTGTGTGTTCGACTGTAATACGAGAAACTTGACGATAGAGCAATACATTGATATGATTGGGAAGAACTCTTCGGTCCAACCTTGTTTGAACAAGCTGCCTTTTTTTTCTCTTATTCATGTTGTCCCACGCTAGGTCTCAATCCTTCCAACTGTTTTGTTAGTTCAAATTTTCTATCCCTATTCTAAGTATGAATACATTGTACAGAGCTAATGCTAATCTTAGCGGTAAATAAGTTTGAATATTTCCATGTAATTGTTCTTGGCTTAGTTAATAAATCAATATACATGTTTCCCAATAATTTTATGTATACGGAGAATGTATTCTAAAATTTGAAGTGATATTCATGAAAATACTTTATTCTCGGTTAGAGTTTTGGAGATTTGTATTTTTACACATTTGAAATCATCAATCAACAATCACTGTTAGACCACCAAGATTCTAAACCTGGAAGCACTGGACGGCCGTTTCGTCCTGATATGGGACTCATCAGTGGCAGTGCGCATCCATTCAGTAAAAGACGAAAATCTTGATTGAATAAATAATGTCCTAATGGTTATTGTCATCAACTGCTATAGGAATATTTCTCGAAATATGGTTCCACGAACATTATAACATTCAAGTAGAAGAAAGCCAATATGATGGGACAGCTGTTTCAATAAAATATTGTAATGCTTGAATAGACTGAAGCGATTTCGTATCAATTTCATGAAAAAGTTACAGCTGTTAATGTTATATATACAAAGTGATTGCAAGCTATTTGATCAATGAACTAACGACTTACTTACTTACTTACTTCCTTACGTCTGTTACTCTCAATGGAGCATATACCGCCAACGAGTTTTCTCCAACCTACTCTGTTTTTCACCTTCATTTTCCAATTCTGTCAAGTTTTTGTTCGTTATTCTGATATCTGTCTCCTTTTCTCAGCGTAAGGTGTTCCTCGGATTTCCGTTTTTCCTTTGACTTTGGGGGGTTCCAAGTGATGGATTCCCAAATGACGCAATTGTGTGTCCTATCCATTTCCACCACTTCTTTCTCATGATGTTTAGTAGAATTTCACTACAAAGCAAGGGGGGAACTATTTTGAAGATAGTCATGATTAAAACTACTAATAATCACGATCCTTATTATTACTATTTCACAATCTTCGTATATTTACTGTTTTTGTAAAATGAACTATTCCAATTTAACTTATTTATTGTAAAATAATTTTATTCACTTAAGGGTACACGATTTACATATCGTTGTTCTGTTGATAATTCTGAAACATGCAATACCTTGTTGGAGACATGTAAAAATTATTTAAACTTTTATAAGTGAGTTAAAAAAAACTAATCTGTTCATTTACATTTTGAAATCGTTTCTATTATAACTAGTTTGTAAAAGAATAATCAGCATGAATTCCTCAATTAATGTCAACGCCTGTATATTACAAACTATATAGTTAACATATTAAAGTTGTTGTATTCATCAACTGGACAGTGAGTGTATTAAGTGATAACAAACACTATGTAAATCAATACTGATGGTCAAAACGTGTGATATTATTCGACAGAAGCCTTATTTCTATATTTCATAAAGTCACAGTGTTTGTTTTGGTGAGATTGTAGATAACTAAACAGTGTTATGATAAATTTGTCCATGTTAGATACCATAATTAGTTGAATGAAACAGAACAACACTACTGTGTTTTGTAACCGCTTACACGTTGAAATAAATACGTGTCGTAGTATCAGAAATTACAAGATCGAGTCATAGAGTGATTACTCCACTAATTTATGTGAATCATTATTATCAAGCAAAAATGTTGCTTCCTATTATTTTTCTTCTGAAGAAGCAATCAAATGTATTTTCTCAATTAAGATATTCGTAGGTTATTGGTTTTCGATCATAGGTGTCTTCGAAGCATTGCTCGTATATCCTAGGACACTCGAGTGAGCAACTCTGTTGTTAGGAAACGGGAGCTAGGTAAGAATAGCAGATAAATTGATGAAGTGCTGAAACTTCATCAGTTGATGTGGTTGGGATATGGGTTGAGTATGCCAAACCACCGACTGCCTCGACGAACTTTGTTTTGTAGTGTAGGAATAGGTTGGAAGAACGTTAGGGGGGGACGTTCACTAGGGGATTACGGTCCAGTACAGTTTGCCTATTGGAGATCAGCTCTGAAATGCAAGTATATCCAGCTACAGACGAGTCCTAAATGGGAAGAAACACTCGTGCTGGATTCCCTTACTAGCCACTACCCAACTTTGCTAATAATGCTTGCAACCTAAAGGCACTATCAAGGTAATCGGCAGATGATGCACATATGGCAAAGGGACTGACCTGTTGCAGTTCTAAACATCAATCGGACGATTCAAGAATGCAATAAAAATGAATGCAAAATGTGGAGTCGAAAATTCTTATGTCTCAAACTGCATTTAAGACAACTGTCAATCTGAAGACACTTCCAGTTGCCAGGAATACGTCACTTTAATATTATTTTCAAGTGTATAATTGTATTATGAATCTCTCGTCACTGTGTATTCGTCTATATTTCCTTTCATATCAATTAGTCAGTCAATAAGAATGGAACCACTTGTTTGGAATTATATAAAGTTGTTTGTGTGTTTCGTATTTACCTATCTCTTTACATCATATCTAAAAGCTCTTAATATGGAAGGATAATTGTAGTTTTGATAAAATCTTTCACTTATATGCAAATCGTTAGTTTTATTGAAATAATAATTTTCCGATCTCACATTATGAGTATGATGATATTTTTTGATAATTTTCACTAATTTACTGTATATACTCTTAAAATAAAGTTCTTCTATGCGTTGTCAGTAAAGTATACTTTATTTAGTGATGTCCTATAGATTTTGTATGACTGTAAAATGATTTGATCAAGAGTTATTTACGAATGAGGCACTTGATAACTGTTCTTGTTCTAATATGAGAATCTTCGGAAGATGTACACTCACAACCCGATTGGGTAGTGAACACAGAACTTTGAGATTTCGTGATGAGTACTTCAATCTGATCATATGTTTTCACTTTACAACTCTGTTTAGTTTGTAACTCTGATGTCTCTTTGTTTACGGATTTTTAAGTTCGTCACTTGCTATGCTTGAAACTATTACGGGTTCACCTTAATCGATATACAAGAACGATACAGTGAATCAGTGTCCGGGTAGGCTACTTTGATCCGTTGACTCAAAGGAACTAACGTAAAAGTCTTGACATAGAGTAGAAAATGTATTCTACGCAATCCCAGCAACCACAATGCAATCAAGCACATAAATCGCGTTTATTTATACATCATAGAAACGTCCTTGAGAGAATCACAAGAATAGCACAGTAAAATAACACAGTAACCAATCACAGCCAAGGATTTTCCTGGTGGGAAATGTGGTCTCAAGGTCGATTGATCAGTCCATGTTTAAAACCCAATATAAAGACATTAATCAAGCGAGTTCTGGGGATCTAACATTCCCAACACGGATAAACCTTCCGTCTGTTGGGAAGTACAATACACTGAGTTTATCTCCTATTAGCCCATAATGCATGCGACTAAACTCTGTATTATTTCACTATCGTTTTAATGTTTCACGTTTTATTTTCTGTTATTATTATTATTTTTTGTCTAAAATGATGTATTTGTTTATTTGTTTACCTTGTAGAAATGAAGTATCACAAAAAATTCTAAATGAACCAAATCAATCAATGGTCAACACGAAGAATGTATGTTCTACTTCAACTAGTCAACCAATTGTTTATCCTAATTCATCGTTAGGTAAGTAGTACTTTTATTTTATTTTTTTCTTATACAGTTAGGAATAATTGTCAGCATAAAATTGTTAGTATAACTATTAGGAAATGTTTAAGTGAATAATTTTGGGGCAGAGTTTTGAAGGTTTGTGTTCTTACACATTTGAAATCATCAATCAATCATTGTTAGACCACCACCATTAGAAACCTGGAAGCAGAATACGGCCGTTTCGTCCTGGTATGGGACTCATCAGTGACAGTGCGCATCCACGACTCTTGCACCTCGCAGGATTCGAACCTGGGACCTTCGGTATTGTTCGCGAAGAACGCCTTACCATCGGACCACTGGACCGGCATCCATCGGTGTTAATGTCTAACTCTGATTGATCTAGGGATTTTGCGCGACCTCACCCACTTGCCTTTGTTAGTTACTGCCTACACACGACAGGGTTGAACTCCACTGGTCACGTTTTCTCAACTAGAACTCCGGGAATTTCCTCACGCAACTAGTCACTAGTGATCAGTGTTACGATATTTTGGGGCAGATGAGTCCCATACCAGGACGAAACGGCCGTCCAGTGCTTCCAGATTTCTAATGGTGGTCTAACAATGGTTGATTGATGATTTCACATTCAGTAAATAAGTTTATGGATTTCAACAATTTTGGTAAAATCAGTTCACGACTTAGAATTTTACAATCTCCACAAACCGCACAGAATACTAATAATCATGTGACCAGCTTCAAGATTCACCAAAGTAGTGGAGGCAGTTGTACAATCAGTCAGTCAGTCAGTTACAACTTAGAACTTCGTACGTATGTACTTGAGTTCAGGTTGCCATACTACATTAGCACAGAGATGCAACTGTCAATCCAAATCCCATAGTGGTAGAGAGATAGTAGAAGTATTAGCAGTAATGGAGAAGATTATGGCTTGAAGACATGATTTGAGAAATGCACTACTGTGAAATTCTATATTCTACCATCTCTGCAAATCTTTTTTTCGAATGATTTATTAACTAACTACAGTGAACCAGTGATTATGTATAAAATATGGATTAGAATTCGTTTATTTTTTTACAGTTGAGTAGATAGATCTAAGCGGGATATGAAAATACACTTAGCTGCAAGAAAATTACATTTCGGTTAACAATCTTTTTTTCATGCTTCAATGGAATGAAATGAGAATATATCAAAATTTCCACCGACTGCCTCGACGAGCTACATTTTGTAGTGTAGGAGTAATAGGTTGAAAGAAAGTTAGGGGCGGCCAAACCAAAACATGACAGAAATCCAGGAAGTCATTGACAAGTGGACTGAGCCATGTCGGTAGTTGTCGACTACCTGGTTGGGATCCGCGAGATGATAATAATCGATGGTTAGACACCCTGAATGACATTGCTCAAAACCGTTTGCAATGGCGCCGGTGCATTTATTCTTTGTGTTCTCTCAAATCCTAATCTTCTGGATTCTTCAACCCTCTAGTTTAGACTTTCTAAACGTTTCTCACTGAATCATACTTCTTGAATAATATCTTCTAATCCTAACCTCTCTGATTACTTCTAATACCTTTACTACCTGTTCTACTATTGGATTTGAATTGACAATTATATCTTTGTGCTAATGTAGTATGGCAACATGAACTGATGTACTCACGTACAAAGTTCTACGTTGCATCTGACTGAGATCAAAATTTATTAAAGTATCTGGATGCTGTGTTGTAGTGAGTGAATTGGTATGCCATAAATGAGTGAGTGGTATTGACGAACTGCAAGACGTGATGATGTATGAAAATTTTATACGTTGAAGTACAGGTTACAGGTTATTACTATGCATTCTGATTGGACATCAATCATGTGCTAGATAAATCACATGTAGAAACAAATAAAGTAATTAGCGGAAAAAAAATAAATTGATCATTTTAAATGACAGAAACTAGAACAGATTAATGTTTGACTATTTTGTACAGAATAGCACACAGTTTAAATTTTGTTCAAATGGTCATAGTAAGCTGTATTATGAAAATTTATAACATCGACATGGCATTATTAAATTCAGTCAGTCAGTCAGTCAGTCAACAGCAACATGGAACGTCGTTCGAGCGTACATCAGTTCAAGTTGTCATACCACATCAGCACAGAGATGTGAGTGTCAACTGAAATCCCATCATAGTTGAGGTAGAAAAGGTATTAGAAGTAATCAGAGAGGTTAGGATTAGAAGATATTATTCAAGAAGTATGATTCAGTGAGAAACGTTTAGAAAGTCTAAACTAGAGGGTTGAAGAATCCAGAAGATTAGGATTTGAGAGAACACAAAGAATAAATGCACCGGCGCCATTGCAAACGGTTTTGAGCAATGTCATTCAGGGTGTCTAACCATCGATTATTATCATCTCGCGGATCCCAACCAGGTAGTCGACAACTACCGACATGGCTCAGTCCACTTGTCAATGACTTCCTGGATTTCTGCCATGCTTCGCTCCGGACGCCCCTAAGTTTCTTCCCACCTTCCGTACATCGTAAAACATAGCTCGTTGAGGCAGTCAGTGGTTGGGCTTACGTAATGCATCTCCCAACCACCTCAACTGATGGAGTTGAACAACTTCATCAATTAATCTGTCATCCCTCTCTAGTACTCGCTTGTCCTATGATACACAAGCAATGCTATGGAGACACCAATTCTCGAAAACCATCAACCTACGAATATCTCTTACTCTGCCCGACCGGAGCTGCTACCTTGACGTGGTGGTCGGGCTTGCCTATCATGATGACTCAACTGAGCTCTACTGGCTGTAACATATGTTCTTGAAGATTCTACTATGCCAGGCAGGTCGACTGGAGAACGATGAGACTGAAAGCAGCTACCCAAGGTCTGAGGGCGTAGTCGTACTGCTGACTGCAGAGGGGTATGACAGCAGTAAGGTGTTTCCCTCGGACAACCAGCATCTGCAGCGATGCTGCCTTCTCACAAGGAAGGAAGTGTTAGAAAAGGTCGGCCCTAAAAATGTCACACCTCCCCTAACTCACGGATTTCCGTCTCCTTGGGTAAGGGTGCCCACTAAGGGCCTTTAAGAACGGAGCTAATCCTCAAAAAACCTTTCATAAAAAAGCCGTGCGTGACCGGCCTCAAGCAGTTGTCCCTTGGACTCTGCGGTCACGCAACCAGGTCTCCAAGACCAACACTAATCTATCTTCCTTTTCAGGTCCCTTAAGAAAAAACCATCCACGGTGTGGGCAGCCGGGAAGTGATAACCGCCCTCATACGCGCAACAGCACACGAGGCCGAATTGGTCAAAATCAAATCATTCCTACATTCCCTAATACCTCTCTTATCTCCACGACTAACTCTTCTCACATTCACTTATCACAGTACACAGCCAATGCAAACGATGCGAGTTCGCGAAACGTCGTTCCTGGTCTCCCTAAACCCCGTTCCAAACTATATGTTGGAGCATTCAATGTACGGACACTGTGTCAAATAAGGCAACAGGCATCATTAGCTAGGACTTTAGAATCTCGTTCCATCGACGTGTGCTGCGTCTCGGAAACGCGCATACAGGATCCGAGTAGCATCATTCACTTGACCTCACCATGTCAAGATAAAGAAGCAGCTCGATTTACCCTTCGTGTATCCGGTAGCCCTGATGCTGCTTCTAGGGGCCTCGCCGGTGTAGGTATAGCATTGATTCGTTGGGCAGATCAATCTCTCCTTGACTGGATCCCTGTAGATAGTCGCTTGTGCGCCATCCGACTGAACGGGACAGGAAGGATTCGAAAGGATAGGGACACTCGTCGTCGCCTCTTCGTCATATCAGCCTACGCCCCCACTGACAGCAGCCCAGATGATGTAAAAGATGAGTTTGACAGAGAGCTTTCGGACCTCCTCCAAAAAGTTAAGCGCTCTGATATAGTTATAATGGCTGGTGACTTCAATGCACAAGTAGATAGACTAAGTGAAAATAAAAAACACCTAGGTGGATGTTACGGTCTCGCGGCTCAAAGAACAGACAATGGCGACCGTCTGTTGCAACTGTGCTCAGATAACCAACTATTTCTAGCAAACACTAATTTTATGCATAAGGAAAAACATCTTCTGACCTGGCGACCCCCGAAGTCGTCTCAACGTTGGACACAACTAGATCACATCGCCATCAGCAACCGATGGAGGGGTTCGATAGAGGACTGTCGCTCGTTCTGGGGCACATGTTTAGATTCAGATCATGCCCTAGTGCGAGCACCTGTTTGTTTGAGGCTTGCTGGACGTAGGAAAGACACCGTAAGGAAGCCTCTTAGGGCTTTACTTGATGATAATCAAGCTAAGAAAATATTTCAGGAGGAACTAGAAAAACAGTTAGGCGGCCATGCAAGTGATTCTCATCCTGAAACAGGTTGGAATCATATCAAGAAGGCTGTGGGAACAGCAATGGTATCTGCTAGCAAGGTAAACCACAAGGCTAGGATGAAGCAGTGGATTTCAGTCGCATCCACCGAACTGATGGATGCTTGAAAACGCATCCCACCTGACTCTGAACATGATGAAGAGCGTAGTCAGCTTAGGCGCAGACTTATAAAAAGCCCACGTACCGACCGTGAACAGTGGTGGGTGGCGAAAGCAAAAGCGATGGAATAGGCAGCGGCGATAGGCAACACTAAACAACTTCTCCGGTATAAAGAACCCGAATGTGAGTGAGACTATCTCGGAAAAGGATGGGATTATTATCCATTCTCAATCTAGGAGGCTGGACCGATGAGCAGAACACTTTAGGGATCAGTTCAACTGGCCGCGAGCCACACTTGCCCACGATCTCCAGTCATCCTGGATGGCAAGTCGATTTCAGTTCTCCCAGTTTACATGAAGTTGAGAAAGCTATAGGAAATCTAAGGGGAGGTAGAGCGGCAGGTCCCGATAGGCTTACCCCTGAGATGTTCAAGGATGGTGGTCCAGTTTTAACGGTTAGACTGACCGAAATCCTAGGTAGAATCTGGGAACTGGACGTAATCCAATCTGACTGGTCTCAGTCGCTAATTGTCCCGATCTACAAGAAAGGACAGAAGTCCTCTTGTGACAGTCACAGGGGAATAAGTTTAACTAATATAGTTTCTAAATTGTTAGCCTCGATTATACTTAGACGTTTAACTAGAGCTCGTGAAGAGCAGATTCGAGAAAACAAGTCTGGTTTTCGACCTGGACGTGGTTGTATAGACCACATTTTCACACTACGACAGGTCCTGGGACACAGACACACATTTAGAAGTCCGACAATACTCGTGTCCCTGGACCTAAAAGCGGCATTTGACTCAGTGGATCGTGAGGTTCTGTGGCAGTGTCTGTCATTGAAAGGTGTACCAAAGAAGTACATTAACCTTATACAAGCCCTTTACTCGAACACCACTGTTCGGGTGAGAGCATATGGCGAACTGTCATCCGAGTTCTCTACATCAAGTGGTGTCCGTCAGGGCTGTCCACTCTCTCCATTCTTGTTTAACTTTGTCGTAGACATCCTCTTAGAGTTAACATTAAGCTCGTCAGATTTTTCAGGGGTTGACGTTCTACCAAGAAAGTCGCTTACTGATCTAGAATATGCCGATGACATAGTTCTATTCGGTGAAGACGCTGATAAAATGCAGAGTCTTCTGACTACCATAAGCAACAATGCGAGCATATTCGGGATGCGGTTTTCCCCCTCGAAATGCAAAATGTTGCTTCAAGACTCGGTTGCATTGGAACCTGAACTAGTGATAGGGAGTGAAGTAGTCGAGCGTGTTGATCACTTCACTTATCTGGGGAGTCTCATCAGTGCTGACGGCCTGGTGACTGACGAAATCCCAGCTCGGATACAGAAGGCTCGATTGGCTTTTGCCGACCTGCGTCACTTTAGGCGTAGGCGTGATATCCGTTCGCTAACCAAAAGGCGGGTGTACTGCGCAGCAGTTCGTTCCGTTCTCTTATATGGCTGTGAAACATGGCCGTTAAGAGTAGAAGATGTTCGTAGGTTGCTAGTATTCGATCATAGATGTTTAAGAAGCATTGGTCGTATATCGTAGGACAACCGAGTAAGCAATGCTTTCGTTAGGAAACAAGTTCTAGGTAAGGATGGCAGATCAATAGATGAAGTGGTGAAACGTCATCAGTTGAGGTGGTTGGGACATGTGTTACGTATGCCTAACCACCGACTGCCTCGACGAGCTATGTTTTGTGGTGTAGGAGTAGGTTGGAAGAACGTAAGGGGCGGCCAGACCAAAAAATGGCACAAATCCATGAAGTCACTGACAAGTGGACTGAGTCATGTTGGTAGATGTAGACTACCTGGTTGGGGTCCGCGAGACGAAAGTCATCAATGGTCAGAGACCTTGAATGACATGGCTCAAAATCGTTTTCAATGGCGCAGGTGCATCCACTCTTTGAGCTCTCTCAAATCCTAATCTTCTGGATTGGTCAGCACCTCGACCTTTGTCTTTCTAACCTTATCTCACTGAATTATAATTCTTGAATAATATCTTCAAACCCTAGTCTTCTTCATTACCATTAATACCTCCTCTACTATCTTTATCACTATGGGATTTGATTTGACATTTGCGTCTCTGTGCTAATGTGGTATGGCAACATGAACTTATGTACATACGTACGACGTTCTACGTTGCATCTGACTGACTGACTGATCTCTTACTCTGACTGGCCATGTTTCACAGTCATAAAGTAGGACGCAGAGAACTAATTCGCAGTACACTCGTTCTTTAGTTAGCATCATGAAATTGGTTTTCTTAATTGATTGAATTTAAGCACAACTGACGCGTGAATGACATTGTTTCCTTACATTAAATCGCTGTATTGCATGAACACCTTTACTGTGATTAATTCTTCTCTTTCTTCTTTTCAGATAAGAATGAATCGGCATTTATTGGTAATGAGTAAGTAAATATATATGTGGGTATATATTATTTGGCTAGATTTTATCATTTATGTCTTTCTTTTCGTAAATTTATCTTTGAAGCACAAACTTCTCCATTACTGCTAATACTTCTACTATCTCTCTACCAATATGGGATTTAAACTGATAATTGCGTTTCTTTGCTAATGTGATTTGACAACGTGAACTGATGTTCGGACGTACGAAGTTCTTAGTTGTAAGTGACTGACGCTCGGATTAGAATAGCATGTCGTGTCCTTGGATCCTCGGTCCTCACTCTCGTTTTCCGACTAAGGTAAACTTGTAATAGTTGAAGCATATCAAAATGACGTGTTTACATGCAGGGCGTAACGTGTTAACAGGGTCAATACTAAACCATATTCTTCCAGTTAGTTAACTTGACTTTTTCTCTTCATTCTAACATACACCTATTTTACTAACTTCTATTCCTATCATTTACTTTTTTCTTAATAAAATCTTTGAAAAGCTTCTGTTTCACAGAATAGTAGTTCAAATAACATTGGTTTTTTAGATTTTACCTACTTGTGATTACTTTTCTCACCATTACTGTTAGTTTTTTTCTTCACTACTCTATTAGCTGGTTAATTCAATAATGCGTTACTTGATTTTATAGGTTCAAGGTAGATTATCAAATCAATCTAAGTAAAATTATTTTCTAAACTATTCATGTCCATCTATGTGTGTAAGTCGAAAAAGTTTGCCTCTCAATATTAAAAAGTATTTCTCTGCCTTACCCGTATGGTTACACTATCAGTTCAAGTGAAATATTATCTTGATTTTCAATGTGTAAAAAACACTAATCTCGATACATCTAACTCACATATCGTAAAACTGGCTCACCAGTAACTAGCTTCATGATGAAATCCTCGTAGTTCTAATGAGAAGACTTGACTAGTGGAGTTCAACCCTGTCGAGTGTAGGCAGTAACTAACAAACAGACAAATGAGTAAGGTCTTGCAAAATGCTTAGATCAATGAAAGTTAAACATTAACACTACTGGATGCCCGTCCAGTGATCCAGAGGTTAGGCGTTCTGTGTTCGGTTCCCTAGAGGTGCAGGAGTCGTAGATGCGCACTGCTGATGAGTCCCATATTGGGACGAAACGGCCGTCCAGTTCTTCCACGTTTATAATGTTAGTGTAACGATGACTGATTGACGATTTCAATGTGCGTATTACTTTTTCCTTACATTATCACTCTCAAATAGAGCCTAGTTTCTGTGTTTTGCATATTCGTTTACCACTGATTGGTTATCATCTTCGTTTCCTGCATATGTCTACTCTCGTTATTATTATTATTATTATTATTATTATTACTGTTATCTATCGATTAGTGCATACATTCGTGATGATATCAATGGGATGCCAAGCATGATTAAAACTACATTTTATTGTGAGTTATTTTTATTTATTACATCCTCGATACAGTTCAAATCATCTTGATGCTTCCCTTTCTTAATTAACACCATTATATTCATATCTCATCATCAACAAGAAGTAAAAAAAACCTTTTATTTTGGGGTTAAATAACTAAAACGCTTGAATTTATATTGTTCTCATTATTATTAGTATTATTATTTATGCTGTTATTATTATTATTATTAATATTGTTTCAGACAATCTTTAATTCTACATCCTTGCTCTTTTCCCTTCTTCTCATTCTCGTATTCTTTTGTGGCCACATTGTAATGTTTAGCCCAATTGGTTGATGAGAATCCACTGACAAATATGGGTCAGTGGTCGTTTTGTTTTGTTTTTTTTCCGGTTGAGCTTTCATTTCCTCTTCCTTCTTTGTTTCTTTCATGCTTGATGCTTTTCAATCGAATCTCCTCTCTCTCTCTCTCTCTCTGCACGTAATTTAATTATTTTTTATGGTCATATCATTCATTTACTGTAATATCTCACCGTTCGTTTTGTTTTCTTGCTTTTAAAATGCAAAACTATTCTACTTTTGTTTGGATGATAAAATTATTATTACCTAAGAGTTCGTTAGTAATGTTGGCCATTGTTTACTACTATTGTTCAAAGACTAAACACTCACTATGAGTTTTTTTTATCAATTAGAGTTATGGAGATTAGTGTTTGCACACATTTGAAATCATTGACCGATCAGTGCTACAATACCACCATAAACCTGGATGACCGTGTCGTCCTGGTTTGAGACTCATCAGTGGCAGTGCGCATCCATTACTCCTGCACTTCGCAGAATTCGAACCCTTCGGCCTTGCGTGCGAATGCCTAACCTCACTATGAGGCCTGAAATCCACTGAGTGATGTGAACCCTCGATGAGTGTTTGAATGCTCACTTTAGAGTGAATAGAATAAACTTTGAGATGGTATAGAAAATTTGTAGCTCAGGTGGATGATTGTTGTCTGAAGTTTGTGTTAATGATGTTGTTCAGAAGAACAATGAAAGCTCTACAACCAAAATAACCAGCTAAGTGAACTAAACATACCACCACAGAATACACTCTCTAGTGATTCTTCGCTTTCAATAGTTGACAAGTTACAAGCAGTCAATGAGGCAAACTAAATACTGAAAGTAAAACCTGGAAAAACTATCGATCCTTGAGTAATCAATAGTCAACTCGCGTTTGCCACTTCAATTTATTTTGAAGTCATATTAACCTTGGTGTATTTTGTATTCGATGAAATCTCAAGATATATGCAAACACATCCGTTTGACATTTAATAAGTTGTTCTGTCTGTGGTACTTGTTAGATATTCATCTCTCAGTAATCGTAACCTTAGTTCATGGACTCACAGATCATAATTTATCATTTTACAGCTGTGAACAAAGTCTTGTTAAGACACAGGATGTGAGAATGTTGTTAGTATGAAAACTACCGATGTACTATTCTCGCATGAAGGAAACAAAGGGTGTTAAATTTCTCGATGTTATGTAGTCTACTAGAGAGAAAAGATAAGTTCATTACTGAAGCTTCAGACGTTGAATAGTATACGTGCAGCCTGAAAAAAGGCTGTTGATAAAGTGGTCAGTACACAGTATCAATTAATGCAGTCATCGACAAGTAATCTGAGTTGTGGTTATATGCACAGACTTAAAAATAAGGGCTTACAGGATAGTTATTAAATGGGTATATTGGGTTACATAACCGGAAATCTATCTACCCTTCCACTTTCTAAACTCTCTTTATTTAACTTCTCTTGTTTCTTCCTGAAGTGTTATTCTCTCTGTTTAAACTCCTACTTCAGTCGATATTGTTTCTTCTGATTAGCTTCCCGACTCATCACTTTCCTTTCTCTTACTGTGATAATTTGAATTATAGTCAATAAAGTGTATGTACGTTCGTACTATGTATAATGATGATTGTAATTGATATCATCGAAGCAATAATGCGGTTATTTTGACAACTTAATGAATAGTATAATTCTCATTAGCCAAAAAACTTGAAAAATTACATACATGGTGTAGTCTTCTGAATCAGCATTTAGTCAATGAACGAATTGAATGGTGTGATCCATTGTTACGTCAGATCATTTTTGAGCGATTACATTTAGAAAGCTATGCTGTTATAAAGCAGGTTACAAGGATTATACATATTTGAACAAGTTATTTTTTTACTGGCATTGCTAAGTTGAAATATCAGTCTCTGTTTAAGAGTAGTAGTAATACGTGTGCATGATCGATGCAAGAGCTACTTTAACTGATATCTTATCCTTTGATAATATAATCAATGAATCCGTCAAGGACTGTGATTCATTTTGAAAACCTTGTACAATCATTCTACCTATCTACTTCACTTCCAATGCATTTTACTGATAGATTCTTCATCAAACTTATATCGCCGATGGTTAAGCGTATCAGTCAGTCAGTCAGTTACAACGTAGAACTTCCTACGTTAGTACGTACATCAGCTCAGGTCGCCATAGCGCGCATTAGCACAGCGACGCATCTGTCAGTTCAAATCCCACATTGATAGAGATAGTAGAAATATTAGCGGTAATAAAGACGCGTCTGATCACACACTCCGTGTGTTTATTTTCTTTCATATGACCTATAAGAAGAGATTAAATATTTCATTAATCACTTGATAAATAAACAACCTGTAAATGATGTGAATGACAAAAACATACTTTTCTTTTTTACCATTATTCAAATACTTGAACTTAATTCTGATTAAGATAATATATAGTAAAATAGTTGTATTATTAATAAATATTATAATAATTATAAATTCGTTTTTTGGTTTTTCATTTTCTGTTTAAAATCTTATTGTCAATTAAAATCTTTGAACAGTATAGTCAGTCAGTCAATCAGTTAGTCAGTTACAACGTAGAATTCTGTACGTACGTACATCAGTTTTCAAATCCAATAGTGATGGGAAGATAATAGGAGTATTTAGCAGTAATGGTGAAGATTAGAGATCGAAGATATTATTGAAAGAAGTACGGCTCAGTGAGATAAATTTAGAAAGTGAAAGATAGATATGATAAAAAAAAATTTAGAAGGTTAGAATTTGAGAGAACACAAAGAGTGGAAGCACTCGCACCATGACATTCAAGGTCTCTAACCATCGCTGACTTTCATCTCGCGGACCCTAACCAGGTAGCCTACATCTTCCAACATGTCTCAGTCCACCTGTCAGTGATTTCATGGTCTTCTGCCATGTTTTGCTTAGGCCGCCCCTAGCTTTCTTTTAATCTACTCTTACACCACAATTCACAGCTCGTCGAGGCTGTAGATGGTTGGGCATACGAAACACATAACCCAACCACTTCAATTGAATAGTATTTACATACATACATATAATAAGATTTCATATTAATTATATATGCTGACTTATTTTTTTATTGCTTCAGACCGAATTTGTTACCCGAGTCCAATTATTCAGTACAAATGACCAATTCTGTCCAACCAGTTGTGAATGTCGATGAAGCAGATCATTGTAAATCTATTCGGTAAATCAGTGTTGTGATTTTATGTGTGTGTTTTCAATTAATTTCTTAAAACAAAAACAAACACTGTATAAAACTGTATAAAACTTGCTGTTGAATGGCCATCCTCATAACATTTAATTTAATACCCTTCATTGATTCGAAAACGTGTATCTATCTGTGCGAATCGATTTAAATGATGTCGACATTTCTTCCTATCATTAAGGGTCCCTTTTTTCTAAATAATGTTAATATTATCAGTATTGCGCATTGACTACTTAGTTATCAAGTCTTCATGTGTTTGTTCATGAACTATTGATTCTGTCTGGTTAGTCTGCTCAAGGCATCGAATGATCAGTGAAGTTTGCTTGTGACTCATTCGCTTAAAGTCATGTGTCTTGAACTGTTTTAGCTATTTTTCAATAAACGAATCAAATAAAGCTAATTTATTTTCGGGCAGAGTTTTGGAGGTTTGTGTTTTTTACACATTAGAAATCATCAATCAGTCATTGTTCGACCACCATTAATGGTGGTCTAACTACCAAAGACAAATGGCTGAGGTCGTGCAAAATCCCTAGATCAGTCAGAGTTAGACATTAACACCGATAGATGCCGGTCCAGTGGTCCGGTGGTTAGGCGTTCGCATACAATACCGAAGGTCCTGATTTCGAATCCTGCGAGGTGCAGGAGTCGTGGATGCGCACTGTCACTGATGAGTCCCATACCGGGACGAAACGGCCGTCTTTCAGTGCTTCCAGGTTTCTAATGGTTTCAAATGTGTCAAGCTGATTTAATGAGATTTACATTGGTTATTTTGAAACATTTTTCTTCTTGTTTTAAATGCAGATTGATCTAAATTTATAAGACTCATCTCTAGTAGAGTAACGTACTTGAGTACATATGTAACACTTCTAAATAAATGATGCCCTTTCATATTATTTTGTTCACCATAAATGTTAGTGAATTGTAGGAAGTTGACCTGGACTTCAATTTGAGTGTAGTTTCTACTCGTTCTGCGACTATTGCTGAACTGATGAAGCAACGGACTTATAATTGTTATGGAATTCGAACCTATGATTGACCCTCTGTAAGACTAAGGTATTTACGTTGATTGATCGCTAAGTAGTAGCTAATGTTATCCTTAACTAGTTCTTAATGCTGATTGAATCCCATATATCAATGCGAGTAAGATAAAGTGAGTAAGACAGAAGAAAATCATATATATATATATATATATATATATATATATATATATATATATATAATTATTTAATGCTTAGTCAAACATTTTAAAAATACATTTTCCATGCCTTTTATACTAAATCAGCAATACAAGACCATTATATTCAAGTCTAATTGAATTCAATCCCGGTTACACAGTGAAATCACCAGTTCCATCGAATACAATGATTGATTCCAAATTTACAACAGATTCATGTGATTTTCATCACTGTCCTCATCATCATCGTCAACACTATGTCACTGAGTCAAACTATCATCATTATTATCCTCCTAATGCCATCCCAATTAATCCATATCATGTACATGGAACAAGTGGTGTGTTTTATCGTCCACGAGGCTGTGAAACTGTCACTGATATTGGTGATCATCCTCGTGTGTAAGTTTCGCAGTCAATTTTATTTGGTCAATTTATCTGGTAAAAAAGAAATTCTTTTCTGCTTTCTTCTAAACGAATTTCTTTGACAACGTTAAAGAAGTTATTTTTAGAAGTGTTTTGAAAGGACAATAAAATAAATAGTTATCGTATTATGTGAATCATTTCTTCAATAGAAAGCTGAAAACATTGAAAATCCGCGAGTTCATTTTCACAGTTGATATTTGTAACCTCCTGCATAGTTCATTTATTATTCACTGCATATATTTTCTTTCAATGTTGATTTAAATGCTTAATGCACAATTTAAAAATTAGTTGAATATTCTAACGACAAAAGGGCTACTATCCCTAACTCAGGTCTCATATGATCGAGAAATGAAAATTTCGGTATTGTAAAAAAGTCATAACCCAACATGAGACAAAGGCTTTTAAGAGTGTTTAAGCCCATCAGCATTAAGCTGGCTGCATCGCTTGCTATTCTGTGCCATACTATGTGTATATCATTTGCTATACTGCTTACAGAGTTGAAGATTTCCTATGAGGCCAGAGGTTCTCTTTGAACATTTTGGATGGCTTGGCATTGTTTCAGAAAGTATTGCTAACAGTCCATATGCAAAACTGGTTAGCAGGGTGATCGATTTCATTGATCATGATGGTTGGTTTGCAACTCTGTCAAGAGTCATTGTAATTAGGGCGTTGTATTGTATATCACCGTTTTTAATAATAAGTGGGTTGGGTCAAATTAGCCTGTTCATACTGTGCTTATTGATTGAAGCTATTATGAATCGAAAATAAACACTATATGTATTGGTGTGAATGGTCTACCACGGTGTCAGGTACCTCCTGTTTGATTGTACCACGCGATCGAGCCAAACTTTTCAGGTGAGCAGTCTCTTTGGTTCTCCTGAAAACCAATGTAAAATAACCCTTGCCAATAGAGGGTTAATTTATATAACGTAATAGATAAACAATTTTTCGAAACCATGAAATGATCAATGTTAGACCAGCACCATTAGAAACCTGGAAGCACTGGACGGTCGTTTCGTCCGGGTATGGGGACTCATCAGCAGTACTCATCCACGACTCCTGCACCCTGTATGATTCGAACTTAGGACCTTCGGTATTGCGCGCGAACGCCCTAACAGTTAGACGACTGAGCCAGTGTCTAGCGGTGTTAATGTGTAACTTGATCAATTCACGGAGTTGCGCAACCTTATACACAATCTTCGGTAGACATTGCCTACACCCGAACAGGTTGAACTTCACTGGTCACGTTTTCCCACTAGAACTCGGAGAAGATTCCTCACGAAGCTAGTCACTAGTGAGCACAGGTAATTTGAATTACGGGGTTGTAAAGATTGTTAAGTTACACATTTTTTGAAACCATGAATCGATCAATGTTAGACCACCATACCATACCAGGACGAAACGGCCGTCCAGTGCTTCTTTCAGGTTTCTAATGGTGGTCTAATATTGATCAATTCATGGTTTCAAAAAATGTGTAACTTCACAATCTTCACAACCCCGTAATGCAAATAAATAATTCTAACGATAAGTGAAAATATTCTATATTGTACTCTTTTGTACTCTTCTGAATTCATTCAGAAAATCCCCCGTTGTACACGTAATTTCAACCTAATACACATATCATTTCTCTTTGATCTTTTTTTTTGCAGATATGCTAATCGTCGTTCACAATGTTCAAATTATAATCCTTCTCGTTTGATTATAGATGATTCGATCGATTGTAAATTCATTAAACATCGTCGAAGATCATTTCCAAAAACTAAACATTATTTTATTGAAAAAGAAGATTTTGATGAAAATCATTTGGTACAAAAACAATGTTCATCATTTTATCCAACATTGCATAATGACAGCTGTCAATCACCTCAATATATATCAAGTTCACCAGTCGTCAAATCATCAGCTTATCGTGAATTTCATCAGTTGGACAAATTAATACCGACTACTACATCGTCATTTAGATTATCATCATCACATGGTAGATGTGCAGGTGGTCGTGTGCCTAAGCGTAGTCATCGAATTCTACCCAGGCCAATAAGTCGATTAGATAGATACGCGGAAAGGTGCGCATCACCGGCGACAACTGATCATGATGTTGATGTTGATGATGATGATGATAGTCAAGTGACTATTGAAAATTATGAAAATCATAATGTGAATCATCGTCATGCAATGAATAATAATAACAACGTCAACAGTCACAACAACCACACCAACAACACCAATCTCTCTGGTAAATCAATCATAAACACAGAGGATCCATGTAAAACAAATTCAGCCATAGTTGCGTCTGTTGCACAATCTTCTAATTTAAATAATAAGCCGAATAGAAATAAATTACATACAGAAACATGTGAATTAGTAATTCAGACACGTTCAAATGAACAAACTGTGCACGATAATCATTGTTGTCATTCACCACGAGGGAATTCATCAAGGTAATTGATTGACTTTTTATCATTATTATTTTGCATTACGGGGATGTGACGATTGTTAAGTTACACATTTTTGAAACCATGAATCGATCGATGTCAGACCACCATTAGAAACCTGGAAGCACTGAAAGACGGCCGTTTCGTCCTGGTATGGGACTCATCAGTGGCAGTGCACATACAGGACTCCTGCACCCCGCAGTATTCGAAACCAGGACCTTCGGTATTGTGCGCAAACGCCTAACTATCGGACCACAGAGCCGGTATTTTGTATTCACTACAGTGAATTATTTTCTCTTATTGGCACTGGTTTACTCATGATGATAACATCAATTAGGAAGGTATGTGCGTTTATGCAGACAGATGTTTGCATTTGCAATATTTTTTTATATTGATGATTTCAATGTGTAAAAACAATGATTAAAAAAAATCGTAAAATTTGCTCACTAGTGTCTAGCTTCTTGAGGGAATTCTCAGAGTTCTATTGATAAGACGCGACCAATCGAGTTCAACCCTATCGGGTGTAGGCAGTAACTACCAAAGACAAAATCCCTAGATCAATCAGAGTTAGAGATTAACACCGTTGGATTCGGGTCCAGTGTTCCAGTGGTTAGGCGTTCGCGCGCATAGTCGAAGGTCCCGGGTTCGAGTCTTGCGAGCTGCCAGAGTCATGGATGCGCACTGCTGATAAGTCCAATACTAGGACGAAGTGGCTGTCCAGTGCTTCCAGGTCTCTGGTGGTGGTCTTACAATGACTGATTGGCGATTTCAATGTGTAGAATGTATACTATCTGACGGAAACCAAAACGAGAAATGATTAGTTACCTTTTATTGTTTAATTTTCATAGCTGCTACTTAATTCTCACTATATATATTAATTTGGCATAAGACAATAAGGAGGTTTGCTAAATTACAAGTTGTTGAATGATTGTTGTGTTAAACTGCAAATTGATTCAAATTATCGATTTGCACGTTTAATTTTCAGTTTCATCGTTTAGCTGTTAAGTGTTATGCGTTTCCTAGGATTGATTCATGAATTGTATTTTGATGAATATGTTTATAATAGGTTGTGAGACAAATGTTCTTTTTTTTCTGCCTTCCAATAATATCGAACCTGTAACGAAACAAGTTTGCAAACCATTCAGTCAGTCAGTCAGTTAATACGTAGAACTTCGTACGTGCATATATCAGTTCAAGTTCATATACCATATTAGCAACGAGATGCAATTGTCATTTCAAATCCCATAGTAGTAGAGATAGTAGAAGTATTAGCAGTAATGGAGAAGATTAGAATTTGACGATAATATTCAAGAAGTATAATTCAGTGATATACCTTTAGAAATTGAAAGATAGAGATGATGAGGAATCCTGAAGATTAGAATCTGAGAGAACACAAAGAGTGGATGTGTAGTGAATGAGAACACAGGTGGAGGCAACCGAATTGTATTTAACGAAAATTACAGAGTTACTCAGTAAAATCGGAAAACCATATCGTAAATCGTTCATTTGCAAAGGATCAGTTCATCCTATGGAACTGGACTGTTCCTGTTGCCAAACATCAATCCATTGTCACTCTTCATGCGTTTCATACAAATTCCATTGTTTTCTGACTCTTCCTTTCTTGATCTTCCCCCCATATTATGCTACCAGACTTTACGTTGACACTCACGCTATATACTACTTATAAGTAGTTCGCACCACAGCACCACACTCGTCCCCCCTTTTATTAAGCTGTCGTCGCAGTCTTTCTGATCTCCGTACAGCCGTCTTCTTCATCAGTGTTTGTGGCTCGCCCTCTTGGCGCACTTGGAACCACCTTTGGAGTTCACTGGCGTTCACGCGTTTCTGTTTGTTTCCTTTCTGGATCGTATACACTGCGCCGCGCCTCTCGGTGACGACGTACGGTCCCTCCCACTTCGGGATCAGCTTACCTGACCCTGGCCCTCTTCCTGTGGTATATTTCCGTTCTCTACACTTCACCTGATCTCCCACTTCAAACAATCTCCAGTTCTTTCTCTCCTGTTCTGACTTTTCCATGTCTGATGTTTGTTTCTCTCTCACATTCCTGATTGCTTGTCTCCGCTCTGTTCTCAATCTTGTTGTATTCCATCTCTGTTGTTGCGGCCAGGTTTTATCATGCGTTGGTAGTCTCGGCCGTCTGCCGTACATCAGCTGGAACGGTGACTTCCTGGTTGTTCCCTGTGCCGAGGCACGATGTGCCAGCAAGATTAATGGTAATTCTTTCTCCCAGTCACCCCCTTTAGATGCTAGCCATTCCTTTAGCGTTCGGTTATTCCTTTCCGTTAACCCATTCGTCTGTGGATGATACGGCGTTGTTCGTACTCTCTTGATACCTAACTGCTTTAGACGGGACTTGAACTCATCACTCTCGAAACAGGGACCTTGATCGGTTAATATTATCTTTGGTATCCCATGGTCCGCCACAATGTGCCGCATTACCGCTTCCGTCACCGTCCTTGCACGTTGGTCCGCCATCGGCACGGCATTTACCCATCGTGTGGCATGCTCAGTCATCACCAGCAGGTACTGGTTACCACTTGTCGTCTGTGGGAACGGTCCCATAATATCTACTGACCACAAATCACCAACTGCTGTTACTGGAATTGACTGCAATGGCGGTCGTATGCATCGATCCCCTTTCATTAGTTGACATCGCTGGCACGCTAATACATATCGTGCAACATCGTCTCTCATACCTGGCCAGTACGCACTTTGTCGCAGCAAATCAGTTGTCCGTGCAATACCTGTATGCGCTACCTGGTGACATTCACGAATCATCTCCTGGTGCAGATCTTTTGGGATTATTGCTACCCAATTCTCGTCATCATCCCGCCAGGTCAAGGCTCCGTATCCGTTCACTCTCAGTCTCTCCTTCTGCCTCAGCAACACTGTTAATTCTTTATCTGTTCTACTCTTGTCAACATCTTCTCCCTCTTTTATCACTCTGATTACCTCCCGAAGGTTAGGGTCGGCTTTCTGATGTCGGACGAGTTCTAGGGGATCTCCCTCTAGGCCGTTAACTGCACACGCTATCTCTGGAAGTTCGGCTTCGGTGTCCGGTCTTGACAAATAATCTGCCATTACATTTTCCTCCCCTGGCACATGCCCGATGCTGAAATCATACTCCTGCAGACGTAGCATCCATCGAGCCAACTTCCCCCGAGGGTCTTTTGCTGTTTTCAACCATTGTAGGGGCTTATGATCCGTCTCGATGTGAAATCGTCTACCTAAAAGGTACGGTCTCCATTTCTCTACTGCCCACACGATTGCTAGGCATTCCTTCTCGATCGTTGAATACTTCTGTTCGGCGGGTGTGAGAACGCGACTTGCGTATTCCACCACTCTATCAGCCTGACTCAATACCGCACCTATACCATGATCACTTGCATCTGTGGCCACTGTAAACAGTTTACCGGGTTCAGGCAGTCGCAGCGTCATCTGACGATCGTCTAGCATGTTTTTGATTCGGTTGAACGTTTGTTCGGCAGCCTCAGTCCATGTAAACTTGGTGTTGCTCAGCAACTTATATAAGGGCGCTGCTATTTCGTTGAAATTCTTGACAAACCGACTATAGAACGCCGCTCTTCCCAGGAACTGTCTCAACTTCCTTTTCGAATTAGGTACTGCAATATTTTTTATGGTAAGAATTTTCTCTGGTAATGGCTTTATTTCTCCGTTTCCCACTTTATGTCCCAACAATATGACGCTGTTTTTCGCTATCTGCGACTTTTCCTTATTAATTCGAAGCCCAAATTCGTCAATTCGCTTTAAGACCGCTTCCACATGCTTGACGTGATCTGTTTCCGTCAGGCTGTATACAACTACATCGTCGCCATATACCTCAACATTATCTAGATTCTTAAGCAGCAGCGTCATCAATCTTCTGAACGTGAACGGTGCACCAGCCAACCCGAACGGCATTCGTTTAAATTGATACTGTTTATCCCGTATAGTAAATGCTGTCTTGTTGCGATCGCTATCTTTTATAGGTAGTTGCCAATAACCTGACTGTAGATCCAGCACTGTAAACACCGTGGCATTCTGTAATCGATCTAATGTTTCTACTACTGTTGGCATTGCGCACGGTTGCAGGTCTGTTATATTATTCAGTTCTCTAAAGTCGACGCAAAATCTATACTTTCCATTGGGTTTCTTTACCAAGAGTACCGGTGAGCTATACGGGCTGTCTGCTTCCTCAATTATCCCTTCCTTCAACATTTCCTGGACCTGTCGATTTACCTCGGCCTCTAAATGCACTGGGACACGACGTGTTGTAAATATATTTACTCGGTCGTTCTTTATAGGAATTTCATGCTTTACTTTGTCACAAAATCCATACGGCTCCCCATCTCCAGTGAACAGTTTCGCATACTTTGCGCATAACTCGTTAACGTTAGGTTTCTTGGTCGAGACGTCCGTTGCCATCCTTATTTCAGCCACTTCGCTACTTTCATGTATTGGCGATGAACCGTACTTTGTGACCATTTTCCCGCTTCTCAAGTCAATTATTGCTTTTACCTCTCTTAGGAAATCTGCTCCTAATATCGGTCTCGATAAGCTTGTGGTTACCACGAACGGAAAATTTATCTCAGCTCCACTCATTTTTACAATACTGTTAGATACCCCCAACACCTCTAGCATATGCCCTCCTATGGTGTGGACAGCTAATGTACATGGTTTAATTGTCTTACATTGCTCTTTGCTTATTAACGATATAGCTGCCCCTGTATCAATCAAACACACTAACTCCCGTTCATTTATGTACACTCTGGCATAAATTGCCCCTCTATCTACTAGTGCAAGAACCTCCCAATTCCTAGGGTGGAAAGAAAACACGTTATAATGTTTAAAATATCGTCGTCGTCGTCTTCTTGGACAGTTTATCTTCCAATGTCCTGCCTCTCCACAAGCGTAACATTTATCGTTCCTTTTATGATTTACTCGTAATGCTGCTATCTCACGCTCTAACTCCTCAATCTTCTTCTCGAAAGTATTTATCTCCTGCTTTTCGCACCCGACCGGAGCTACTGTTCGTGTCATCAGCTGACGAGTCACCTTCGCCAGTTCACCGATGTCCATAGGTTGTGCTGCATTTACTAATCTCAGCTGCTGGGACACAGCGGCAGGCACACTCTCAATAAATTGCGACGCCAACAATTGTGCCTCCGACTCCTCATCGATATTCGGCAACGCACGGAGCAGCAACCTTTTGATTTCCACAGCGAGCACCAGCGGGTCACCATCAGCCGACAGCCTCGCCAACCGGAACTTCCGCAACGCCTCCTCCCTGTCCACCGGGCTGTCTAACTCGGTCACCAGCCGCTGAATGACCGCCTTCCATGATGTCTTCCCGCCAGCACCGTCCAGGCCGTCATATACGGCCTTCGCCCTTCCTCTCAGCAGCGTTCCCAGCACCACCAGCTTCGCCTTCGGTTCCTTCACCCCCACCAGCTCCGCCACGGCCTCAAACTCCTTCAGGAAGCCCCGCACATCCCCGTCTTCAAACTCCTTCGGCCATGGAACCTTCATCCTTTGCGTAGGCAGCGACACCAAATGTAGTGAATGAGAACACAGGTGGAGGCAACCGAATTGTATTTAACGAAAATTACAGAGTTACTCAGTAAAATCGGAAAACCATATCGTAAATCGTTCATTTGCAAAGGATCAGTTCATCCTATGGAACTGGACTGTTCCTGTTGCCAAACATCAATCCATTGTCACTCTTCATGCGTTTCATACAAATTCCATTGTTTTCTGACTCTTCCTTTCTTGATCTTCCCCCCATATTATGCTACCAGACTTTACGTTGACGCTCACGCTATATACTACTTATAAGTAGTTCGCACCACAGCACCACAGATGCACCATTTGCGCCATTGCAAACCATTTTGAGCCATGTCATTCAAGGTCTCTAACCATCGGTGACTTTCGCCTCACGGACCCCAACTAGACAGTCAACATATATCAACTTGACTCAATCCAGTTGTAAGTGACTTAATAGATTTTTGCCATGTTTTGGTTTAGCCGCCCCTAGCATTCTCCCAACCTCTACACCTACACCACAAAACGTAGGTCGACAAGACAGTTGATGGTTAGGCAAATGTAACTGATGACTTTTCATTACTTCATCTATAGATCTGCCATCCTTACCTAAAACTCATTTCCTATCAACAGCATGACCTACTCGGTTGTCACACAATACACGAGCAATGCTCCGAAGATAGCTTTTAGAATTTCTTATTTCAAATTACCAGTCATTAATATTTGTTATTTCTTTACTTTTTTTAAAAAAAAAAAATCTACAAGGATTGTAAATAGAAAAATTCCTATCAGCTCATCATCATCAATAATGAAATCAACGTTACATTCGAATTCTTGCAAAATGAATGATGGTAAATCAAATCATCAATCTAATTCACTTTGGTATTATCCTTCTCATCATACAAACAATCACGATGATGGTGTTGTGGTTAGTCGTCACCATCAAGATCCTAAGTTGTCGAATTTCTCTCGTACACAAGTAGGAGATGGAGGAGATGATGAAGAAGGAGAAGATGAAGATGATGAAACAGAGGGCAACAATAACAAACTCACTATTAACAATCATAATGACGCTGGTGTTGCTGATGAGGAAAACGATAATGATGATGAAGACAATTCAAAAGGTTTAACCGATTTAGAAAATGGTCTATTTCATCATACACATCAATATACTAATAAACCAGTTGTTAATTCAACACCCACATCTACTACTTCTACTACAACAGATACAACATCATTTTGTTCATCATTTATTTATTGTGCAGATGAAAGTGAAACACCAAGTTTGTTGAAAAATTCTGATGTTAATTCAGATTTCGGTGGTACATCTTTATTAATGGAGGAATTTCATTTGCCACCAACACCTAATTCAAATTATTATAATAATCAAGAGAGAATGACTGTGAATGAACGCGTTGATGAGAGTAATTCTGATGTAAGTTGTAGTTTTATTAGGATTATATTTTATAAAATTTTATGGTTTACATATTGAGATGGTGGAGAAGATTTGTTATAGTTCAGGTGGATGATTGTGGTGGTGGTGTTTGGTTCTCTGAGCTGGGTGCTGATGATGTTGTTCAGTAGAAGAACAATGAAAGCTCCACAACCAAAAAACATCCATCTTAGAGAACCAAACACTACCACCACCACCACCACAATGGTTTACATTACAAAATGACCACCTTCAGCTTGTTAGAAAGCAGGAGGGACTGGAAATCTGTTTCTTCATATTATGTGATTTCTCACTGGAGATGTGCATACCTTGTAAGATTCATTTTTTGAAGGCTTTGTTTATGAAAATCCCTATCCATGTTGTATACATTTGTAATTTGTTCTTATTGATTCTTTCAGTTGTACATTTGGTTAATCTGTTCGATTTCATGTTCAGATGATAATATTTGTATTTTATTATAGTTTCTATTTTCTTTAGCCTTCACTGAGTTTCTATGTGTTTCTTTCTGAATTGCATTCATGTTGTTTAAGCTGATACTCTTAGTTATGGCGACAGCCATATTGATTTGTTCTTCTTTTGATTGGATTGCTTGGTTAGATTGTGAATTGGAGCACTCTTCCAGAATCGGAAACACTCTGTGTTATTAAGCAACCAAATATTATCTGTCGAATGAATCTAATCTATTCAGAAGGGATAGAATAATGTTTATTTGTGGAAGTTGATTTAAATAATTGATCAGTTGTTAACCCTTCCAGAAATTGAATAAAGGATATTCAGACAACGTGTGAAACTTTGTTAACTAACAGATTATTGAGTTTACATGTTTAACTCCAGTCAGTGCGCAATGTTGTTTGACAATCAATCATCTAATTACATCAGAAGATAACTGCCTCCCATCTTGAGATGATTGTTCTCCCCTTTGATCACTATTTTTCTCAACAAAATTGAATGAATAGCTTCTTGAAATCCGTTATTAGTGTATACCTTCTTACTGTAACTAGATTGGATTCGTGAATATTGTTGAATTTTGTACTTTTTCTTATGAATTGACTGTTTCTGATTTGTCATTTTTTTAATCATAATGCAATGAAGAATGATCGAGCTTCGAAAAACACTTAGGTTTAAGTTTATAAATTTAAAAAGGTGTCATTTAGTGGAGGATTGCATACTTTTTATAGTCTTCACACAATAGAGAGATTATGGTTAGCAAATGACTGAATCAAAAACTCACTCATTTGGTGAATATACATGCATCCTAGTGACAACATTTAGATTGGGACTCAAATATAGTGCTGTAGTGAATGAGAATATCGGTGGGGCAATCGAATTGTATTTATCGAAAATTACAGAGTTACTCAGTAAAATCGGAAAACCATATCGTAAATCGTTAATTTGCAAAAGATCAGTTCATCCTATGGAACTGGACTGTTCCTGTTGCAAAACATCACTCCATTGTCACTATTCATGCGTTTGATACAAATTCCATTGTTTTCTAACTCTTCCTTTCTTGATCTTCCCCCCATATTATGCTACCAGACTTTACGTTGACACTCATGTCATATACTACTTATAAGTAGTTCGCACCACAGCACCACACTCGTCCCCCCTTTTAATAAGCTGCCGTCGTAGTCCTTCAAAACAGAGCCCCTGGTCAGTTAATATCACCTTCCGTATTCCGTGACACGCTACAATATGCCGGATTACCACTTCGGTCATCGTTCTTGACCACTGGTCTGGAATGGATACGGCATCTATCCAACGTGTAGCGTTTACAAGTTCCCGATGCTGGAACACGGCGGCAGGCACACACTCGATAAATTGCGACGCCAAAGACTGTGCCCCGCCCACTCCTCACGGCGCAATCCGGTGAGCTCCACAGCAAGCACCAACAGGTCACCCTTGGCCGACAGCCGCGCCAACCGGAACCTCTGCGGCGCCTCCTCCCTGTCCGCTGGGCTGTCGAACTCCATTATCAGCCGCCCGGTGACCGTCTCCTACGCCGTCTTCTCGGTGGCACCGTCCAGGCCGTCGTGCACCGCCTTCGCCTCACCTCCTCGCAGCGTCCCCAGCACTGTCAACTCCGCCCCAGGCCCCCACCAGCTCCACCGTGGCCCCAAACTCCTCCAGGAAGCTCCGCCAATCTCCGTCCTGCAACTCCTTCGGCCACGGGAGCCCCTTCCTTCGAGCAGGCAGCGACACCAAATGTAGTGAATGAGAACACAGGTGGGGGCAACCGAATTGTGTTTAACGAAAATTACAGAGTTACTCAGTAAAATCGGAAAACCATATCGTAAATCGTTAATTTGCAAAAGATCAGTTCATCCTATGGAACTGGACTGTTCCTGTTGCAAAACATCACTCCATTGTCACTATTCATGCGTTTGATACAAATTCCATTGTTTTCTAACTCTTCCTTTCTTGATCTTCCCCCCATATTATGCTACCAGACTTTACGTTGACACTCACGTCATATACTACTTATAAGTAGTTCGCACCACAGCACCACAGTGCTTTTCATTTGAAACACCTCTACGTTATCCGGCTTGACATGTTCATCATATTCTAATAGTTTTAGATTTTCAGCTGTCATGCTTTATGTTGTAGGTGCTAGACTTGTGTCATTAGTATGATTATTTGACAGAATTATTAAAGTTTCTAGATGAAAGTAACATTGAGATCATTTGAAAAATTAACTATATTTAAATATCGAAATCAGAGATAAATGTGGGCTCGTCAAAAATATTTAACTGTCCAAATAGCTGTGCTGCTATTATCATGTGAATCCAAGTTAGACATTAACACCGTTAGATACCCGCTCAGTGGTTCGATGGTTAGGCGTTCGCGCACAATACCGAAGGTCCTGGTTTCGAGTCCTGCGGGGTGCAGGAGTCGTGGATGCGCACTGCCACTGATGAGTCCTATACCAGGACGAAACGGCCGTCTTTCAGTGCTTCCAGGTTTCTAATGGTGATCTAACATTGATCAATTCATGGTTTCAAAAATGTGTAACTTATCAATCTTCACAACCCCGTAATGATATTATATAAGACACATGTCCTAACCATAATAAGCCGTTGAAGTACACATACTTGTCAACTAATTCACATCCTTTATCTGTAAAACTCGATATTTAACTTCAAATTTGCTCACTAAGTAGGTGAATCTTTTGAATGCTTCAATGAAATATATCTTAGGTTAGTGTGGAGGTTTTCATCTACCTCCTACACACACATTGTATATCTTACTATGGAAATTTTTAATAATTAGTTAAGGATTATTAAGTATATTAGTCGATCGATCTCCAATATTCATCTATAGATGAAATAGTGTTTAATAATAATGCAGTGAGAGATAAATGATTCAGATAAAAATATAATATCAATCGTCATATCCGGCCACGGAAGAGATAGGGGTGTCACGAATTTCTTCTGAACACATAAATGGAGGCTGCATGTACGAATCCCTCAATCATTTCCCAACGGAGTTCAATCCCTTCTCCTACACATAGCAGAAGCCATACGAATTCGTACATTCAACCCCAATTTATGTGTTTTCAGAAGAATTTCGTGACACCCCTATCTCTTCCCTCTGGGCGGATATGACGTAAATAACGATTGACATTATATTTTTTTATCTTAGATAAATGATTGTCAATTTCGCCTTTTAATTCTGTGAACAGAATTGAGTGCTTCCTTGATTCGTTTTGTTTTCTTTTCCTAGTCAAATCTCCCATCTCCTCCATCCAATGATTTTCTTTATCAATTACGGAAATATAAATTAGATAATGAACAACAGCTGCTGGAAAGTAACTTGGAAAATGGAAATCACGCATTGACTACTGTTGACACAACAACCACTACTAATACTGGATTCTCTTCTCGAAATGAAAATAAACGAGGTCGTAAACTGCCATTATTACCTTGTGAACGATCTATATTGAAACCGATTGATTCAGACAAATCACTGATTGTTTCAAAGACGGCGACATTGACCTCATCGCCAAGATCAAAAATAACAACTACAATGAGGACAGAATCAATGAAAATCAATCGACCAATAGTGACATCTCTGTTGTCACCGACTCCATCACCACGAATGTTCAAAACGTTGGTTGATCATCAAAAACAATTACCAGCATGCAGTAGTGATCCGAAGCAAGGAATTAATAAAACAGAAATTACCTTACATCCTGAAGTGGTTTCAGAATGTGATCTTGTTTAGAAGGAAAGTTTATTTATTTTATTTTTCTTACCAATTTTGTACACTTTTATCTGACATTTCGTCTTTTTTCTTTTTGAACACTTACACTACTACTTACTAATAATCAGTAACAGTAGTATCGGTGATATTTTTTATGATAAGTATCATCTTTTATACCTTTCATTTAAAAAAAAGAACTTTTATAGTCCTTGCATATTTGAAGTTTTAAAATTTAGTTTTTTTTGTGAAAGCAACGTTTCATTTTATATTTAGTAAATGATGAATAAAAAATTGAACATTGAATATATAAACAAACAGTATTTAATTATATCATCTTTGACTCACTTTTTTTCGATTCCAACCAATTAAAAGCGGGTTATTCACATACAGAAGTTGATAGTATATTAGCGTAAAAGACTTATAGAAATCACTCAAAACGTAGTCTGCCCGCGTCACGAACTGAATTGAGCCTAGATCAATAAAAGGGTTAGATTGTTCAAAACAGTGGTTCCCTTTGATAAATTTGAATTGAGAAATAAGAAGACATATTTTGTGAGATAGTACCATTTCGTGCTTTCTCGTCAGTCACATACAACAAGCAACATGTTATTTGTGTAAATACAGTTTTGAAGATAAAGTCAAAATTTCTTATTTAGCATGACATTCACTCACTAGAACCATGGTAAACAAAGGTCAACATACAGTTGTTTTTGAACACATAAAGTTGGACTTTTCCGACCAATCAAGATAGCTTAGCTTCAAGTAGTTTCAGTGTATGTGGTTTTTGATTACATGTCACAACTCTAAAGGCTGATTTTGGGTCAATTTGATGACCACTCATCATTAGATGTTTTGCAATGGACGAGGCTGGGTTTCTTGATCGATTTTGAAATGATGGGCTAGGTTGATTAATCATGGATTTTATTAACCATTTTGGAATATGTTCCTCTATCCTGTCTTCCAATCGGCAATCTGTCCTCCCTAAGTAACTTTCTCCGCAGTTACATGTGAATTGGTAAATACAGTGGGATTTGGACTGAATCGGTCTTGGAGACTTGATTGGGGTAACTGAGATCGATTGAGTTGTTGTGATAAGCCTCAGATTAGCTGCATTGAAGGTCTTTTTTATTGCAACTGCAGTCTGCTTGGTTGTAATTTTCATGCAATGATCACCTTTGAAAGGTAACTGTAGGTACACTGGTTTCTTGGGCACATCAGTTGCTATCTTCAAAACTGTATTTACACAAATAACATGTTGCTTGTATGTGACTGACGAGAAAGCACGAAATGGTACCACTATCTCACAAAATATGTCTTCTTATTTCTCTATTCAAGGTTAGATAGTTGTTTTTTATTTAACTGTATGATTTCTCAGGAGTACGTGTCTTTGAATCCTCCATGTATTGGATTTAGGTTGTGGTGGTGTTTGGTTCTCTGATCTTACACTGTTCTTTAGAACAACATCATCAACACAAACTTCAGATAGAAGAAGTGAAGCATTCGAAGTTCTCCACGTGGAGAAGAACAATCAAAGCTCTACAACTGAAACATCCAGCTCAGAGAACCAAACACCACCACCACCACCACAATCATCCAACTAAGCTACAAATTTTCGGCACCATCTCAAAATCATATGAGCGTGAGACGTTTCTTATTGGATCTGGGATATATGCAGATTTTCCAGCGAATCCTTAACTCGCACTTCATGGTTCATAGTTCTAAGTTCAGTCAACAGAGCATAATTGGCTATCATCATTAACTATGAATCTGATTATTGCAAACATTGCTAGTGATGATAAGTGTTCAAATAACACAACAATTTGTATTTTCAATGGAGCTTCATCGTAAAGATACTTTCATCGTTTGACTATCATTTTCAACAATGAATATTAGTAGTATATATATCAAGTGTAATATAATTAATTTTGACAATTAGACAAGAATTTTTCATTAACATTATCGTTTACACACATATCGGCGGTGTTTCTTTATTTCAATTTACCAAAGATTATTTTATCAATAAAACAATTATTATTACTGACAAGGATAGATAACTTTGCACAGGTTAGTTTCTACAGTAAAGAAGATGTAGTTTGTAATGATTCTATTACTAAAAACTACATACATTTCATTATCATCAGTATGCAGATGATAGAATGAGAATATCAATTGTTTCACTTCATCTTATCTCATAGAGAAGCATGAATTTATCCTGGGGCAGAGTTTTGGAGATTTGTGTTTTTTTACACATTTTGAAATCATCAATCAATCAGTCATTGTTAGACCACCACCATTCGAAACCTGGAAGCACTGGGAGACGGCCGTTTCGTCCTGGTATGTGACTCATCAGCGACAGTGCGCATCCACGACTCCTGCTCCAATGGACGAAATGGCCGTCTCCCAGTGCTTCCAGGTTTCTAATGGTGTTGGTCTAACAATGATATTGATTGATGATTTCAAATGTGTAAAAACGCAAACCTCCAAAACTCTGCCCCAAAATATCGTAACCTGTGCTCACTAGTGACTAGCTTCCTGAGGAAATTCTCGGAGTTCTAGTTAAGAAGACGTGACCAATGGAGTTCAACCCTGTCGTGTGTAGGCAGTAACTACCAAAGACAAATTGGTGAGGTCGCGCAAAATCCATAGATCAATCAGAGTTAAACATTAACACTGTTGGATGCCGGTCCAGTGGTGTTCGCCTACAATGCCGAAGGTCCTGGATTCGAATCCTGCGAGGAGGATTAGTCGTGGATGCGCACTGTCGCTGATGAGTCACATACCAGGACGAAACCGCCGTCTTTCAGTGCTTTCAGGTTTCTAATGTTGGTGGTCTAACAATGATTTTGATTGATTATTTCAAATGAATTTATCCACCATATTTTTTCGTCCTGATGTCTCTATTGTTTTATTCTCATCTCTTTCTGTATACACATCATTATCAATAAAGAGGCTTTATGCAATCATCTCTCTCTTACTCTCACTCTCTTCTTCCATTCATTTATTCGGGTGTGTGTGTGTCTGTGTCTGTGTATTTTGATTTTCGCATCTTCATTGTCATTCCGTTTTGATTTTGAGATTTGTTATTTATTGTAGGTGTCGTCACGCTCGCTATTGAAAAAATACTAGTAGTATGTATGTATGAATGAATGAATGAATGATATCTATCTGTACGTAAACATTTGATTGTTATTTAAAAAAAAACAATGAATATCAAAATGTGTTAAACTACTGTAATCAAAAAAAGTATCTATTCTGATTAGTTATTATCATACAGGCAAATGGAGATAGATTTTGGAGGTTGTATTAAGAAATGTAGGCTTCAAAGCTTGTCGTATTTTTATATATGTATGTGTCTGTGAATGCGAGCGTTTAAAAAGACAGAAATAAATGGATGGGAAATCATTACAACTATCCTAGTAATATAATAAAGTAGTAGTGAGCAAATTTACACACTTAGTCAATTAAAAACGAAAACATTACATTGAATACTCTAATTGCACACCATCTTTGAGTCGTGACTTCCAACGCTCCATCCTTTTCCCATTCCTGTTATTGCTTCCTTTCCTTCCTGTTGGTACTCTATTCATTTCTTGCTTTTGCTCCATTTGCTTTGCGTTTTCCTCTTCTGACCGTGAGACTTCTTTTACGTCCCTTCTTATACTACTTATATTGTTCGTATAAGTAGCACACACCACAGTAGAAATAATACATCATGATATATTTCTCGATTTATTAGTTGTTATTTTCATCCGATCATTTTCATCACAGAACAGTGGAATTTGTTGAATTATTTTGAAAATAATCAATCAATTAATGTTAGACAACCAGTTGTGATTTGAAAGTACTGGACGGTTGTTTTGTTCTTGTATGGGACTCATCAGCAGTATATATCCACAACTACATCCACTCGCGGAAAATCAAACACCCAATACCTTCGTCGTTGTGAGTGAAGGAAGGCTATTGATATCCAACTTCGATCATTATCCTGTTTTGAGCACCCAGGTTTCTAATGATGGTCTAATATTGATCGATTTTATGATCTTAAAGTAACTTAACCGTCTACACTACCCTATAATGAAGATTATCATGTGCTCACTAGTGACCACCTCCGCGAAGAGGTTTCTCTAATTTCCAATGAGCAGTGGTGACTAGTGAAGTGCAATCCTGCTCGGATGTGATGCAGTGCTCACAATAGGCAGTAAATGAGGTTGCACAAGACCATAGATTGACCGAAGTTAGACATTAATACCGTCAGATGCTGGCTCAGAGGCTAAACGTTCATACTCGAGATCGAAGTTTCTAGGTTCGACTCCCGCGATTACATAGAGTCGTGGATGTGCATTGTTGATTGATTTATATTTTGAATTATTACGTTTCATGCTTTATAAACGTTAGTTCGTTGTCAAATTACAGCATAACTCTCAAATTTTTTTTTAATGACTTCATAGCTGATTACACCCACTTACACATATGGATTGTTTTAAACAAAAATTCCTATCAATTATTAATGAGCATATGATTATTCTTATATTATTCCGAATACTGATTAAAGTATGCTAACTGATTGATACTCAAAGATGGAGAGAAATAGAGTTAACTATTCTTAATTTTTTCATATTGACTTATCCAAACTGACAGCAATACTACTACTATACCTAGTTCCTCATGTTTTACGTCAATCAAATGATTGAATATCGTCTTCCCTTCTTTATTATTTTTTCCTCTGAATCACATCGTTTTGTTCATTGAGAGAGATTTTTAAAAGAGAAAATAGAAATTACCCGAGAACATATCTCTCTCTCTTTCACGATAATGGTCAACAGCATACTTATTTCACTGGAATGGTGGTTGATTAATTATTTAACAAGAACTATCTGTCTTATCATCGTTTTTAAATCGATTTCAGTTTGATTGCCTTCACGTTGGATATGTTTCTTTATTGTATGAATGACTATTTTTGTTTTTAGATTAGTAAATAAATAAAGTTTATTTACAATCATTATTCTGGTGATTTTCAGTTAGAGTTTTGGAGATTTGTGTTTTTTTACACATTTTGAAATCATCAATCACTCATTGTTAGACCACCACCATTAGAAACATGGAAGCACTGAAAGACGGCCATTTCATC